TGTGACAGAGGTAGGCCCCAGATGACCCACTGCACCCCTGTCAGGATTTGGAACTTGCAATCAGTTTATGCCTCTTGTTACCATTCCTGGTTCACAAACATTGTTTCCTCCAGCTTCCCGAATCACCCCAATCTGGGAGGATGCAGCTGCAGGGATGGCCTGCTCAACTGCATCAAGGCCTGGGACAGAGCCATCCCAGGGTCAAATGAGATGCAAGAGGCCATGCTGTGTTCCAGCAGCCCCAGTGCTGTGGATGGGGCAGAGGGCTGTTTTTATGTCTCTTGAGAAACATGAAGAGTTGAGCTGGGAGTACTGTGCAGTGGTAGAGAGTTACGCTTGCTTGGCCTGGCCCTGGGTTTTATTTCCCAGCATTGTGATAACTAAGTAAAGTTGCAGATAATTAAAATCAACAATAGGACTAGTGATCTGGCTTGGCATGTAAAGATGTAAAGGAGTTTGCCACTAAGTCTGAAGACCTATATTCATTACTGGAACCCACATAATGACTTTTACAAAATGTATGTGTGGGCCCCGCCCCCGACATGTAATGAAAACAACCCAAGACGGATAATTTTGTTTGAGTTCAATAATTTTCCCAACTGGGTGGTGGTAGCACACGCCTTAAATCCCAGTACTCGGGAGGCAGTGTCAGGCAGATCTCTAAATTCAAGGTCAGCTTGGTCTACAGAGTTCCAGGACTGGCTCCATAGCTACCGAGAAACCCTGTCTCAAACAAAAAACAAAAAACAAAAAGAGGGTGGTCCAGCATTCAGTGACTGACTGCTTTGTTTAATGGTTAACTCCAGCAGACTTATTCTCTACATTTGACTAAGTTAGGACTCCGACAGTGAGAGGTTTTAACCCAAAATTCAGTGGCTTAGAACTTTTTACTTCTTGTTATTACACCTAGATCAGGTAAGGGAATTTGATTTTAATCTCATTTTAGGAAAGCCCAGGTGTCTCTGTCTAGAATTGTTTCTTTAAAAATGTACTGCTTAGTGTTTCTTTAAAGGTACTGAGTACAGTTTTCCCTAGCCACAACTTTCATGGTGCATCAGCCTTGTAGAAACTTTATTAAAACTAAGCAGAGAGAACCCATATGGAGAGACCTCCAGAGGGCAGTTTAGGAGAGACACTCTCGGCAGGTCTGGTCATCCCTCAGCAAGTACACCGCACACCCAGAATCTTAAGTCTGATGCTTGCACCTGAATCTCTGCTTTTTGTTATTGTTTTTGAAACAGGCCCTTTCTATGTAAGTCCCAGGCTGGCCTTGAACTCAAAGAACACCGAGACCTGACTCTGCCTCTGAGTACTGGAATTTAAAGATGTATGCCCTACGGCTGGCAGATTTTTTTTGTAACTAGCCCCTAGGTAAGGCTGTTATTATTGGTGCAGGGACCACACTTTGAGTGGTCTTTGAGCAGTTTTGCCTACATCCTGACACTAAGGATGGCAAGACTATTTAATGAGAGGCTTGGAATCATGATGGCAATGATGGAGATAAAGGAGTGTGATGGGAGGGCAAGGAGGTCCTCGAGATCAGTGGTTCCCAACCTCCTAATGCTGCAACCCCTTAATACAGTTCCTCATGTTGTAGTAACCCTCAACCATAAAATTATTTTGCTGCTACGTCATGAGGCTCTGGATCTATCCCCAGCACAGCATACACCAGGCTTGGTGGTCCATGTTTATAAACCCTCACTAGAGAGGTGGAAGCAGGAGGAGCACACAGTCAGGGCCGTCCTCAGTTTGACAGCAAGTTTGAAGTCCACCCAGGATACACAACCCTGCTTTTTTTTTTTTTTTTTTTTTTTTTTTTTGAGACAGGGTTTCTCTGTGGCTTTGGAGGCTGTCCTGGAACTAGCTCTTGTAGACCAGGCTGGGCTCGAACTCACAAGGATCCGCCTGCCTCTGCCTCCCAAGTGCTGGGATTAAAGGAGTGCGCCACCAACGCCCAGCTCCTACTCATTTTTTTATAGTAGAAACTTTCAATGCATGGAGGATTATGCCTAGTCCTTTTTTTGGGGGGGGGGTTTGAGGCAGGATTTCTCTGTGGCTTTGGAGGCTGTCCTGGAACTAGCTCTTGTAGACCAGGCTGGTCTTGAACTCACAGAGATCTGCCTGCCTCTGCCTCCCCAGGGCTGGGATTAGAGGTATGCGCCACCAACGCCTGGCTAGCCCAGGCTATCTTTAATCTCATGACCCTGTTGCTTCAGCATCCCAGATTCTGGGATTACAGGTCTGTGCTACCATGAAGGGTAAGTGTGACCTCTGTAGTACTCATATCTAGAGCTGTGATTTATTTACTCTACAACCACGGTCATATTTCCTCATGTGGAAAAGGAAGTTCTTACCATATAGGGTGAGGACAAAGCCATGTATGTTGCCACAGACATAAAACTTTTTTTTTTTTTTTTTTTGGTTTTTTGAGACAGGGTTTCTCTGTGGAGCTTTGGAGCCTATCCTGGCACTCGCTCTGGAGACCAGGCTGGCCTCGAACTCACAGAGATCTGCCTGCCTCTGCCTCCCCAGGGCTGGGATTAAAGGCGTGTGCCACCAACATCCGGCCCAGCTCTTTCATCTTGACATCATTCACACATCCTTTGTGCTGTTTAAGCCTAACAGGCGCCTTAGTAAAAAACTGCTTGATTTGGTAACAAGAAGACCAGTTGGGGCCGGGGTAGACATACAACTTTTAATGCATGTTAGGTGGTAGCATGCCATCCCCTAAATTGTACAACTGAGGAATTTTTGACACACAACTACCTAAGTCGTGTCTGATGACATAAGGCCAGCCCGAAAAACAACTATTTCATGGGTATTTTAAAGCTAAAAGTGAAAAGGAATCTAGAAGAGTGACCTGAAAATGATTTGGATTGATACCTGGAGCCGGGCAGTGGTGGTGCACACCTTAATCCTAGCACTTGGGAGGCAGAGGCAGGCGGATCTCTGGTCTATAGAGTTCCAGGACAGCCAGAACTACACAGAGAAACCCTGTTTCAAAAAACAACAACAACAACAAAAAACAAAACAAAACAAACAAAAGATACTTGGTACCATGAGAATACCAAAGAGGTGCTATTTGCTCAGATCATAATTCTGGTCTATGAAATCAGGCGCCAAGGAGATCATTATGATGCCAAAATTACAGCCTGACTTCTCAGCAGGTTCACACTGACAGACCCAGCTGCCTTGACTGAACCAAGCATGGCTGAAACAACCTTAGGAAGTATGGACTGTAGTAGAAAAAAACCATAAAAAAAAAGTTTAAAAACAGTGTTGGAAATACAACCGTATGGCAAAATAACTGCTTAGCTGTGGAGTTTTAGCACCACAAACATGAAACAAAACACAAATTAAACCTGACAATTTTCCGTGTTTACTAGGTAAGCTGGATTTGGTTTTATTGCTTGTTATTTTTTTGCTGTGAAGGATGCCCCCTTCCCAGACAAACTGTTTCCTTTAAAACATCAATGACACAAAGTAACACCCTGAAGCAAGTCACACCATACAACAAGAGGGAGAGCTAGTTCCAGCACCAGAGTGCCAGGAGTTCTAGGCCAGCAAAAGAACGAACGAATGAATGAATGAGACTTCACCAAAAAGTTTAACCTAAGGTAAGAAACATGCCATGGACAACCATACCTGTGTCAATGAACAAAATAACAACAGTTTAGTTCCTGAACATCTGACATAACACATCAACAAATTAAAAAGGGATTCTCTAAAAATTATGTAAAAATAAAATACTGAAGCTGTGGTGGGGCACGACGATTGGTCAACCCAACATCTGTGAGGTAAAGGCCGGAAGATCAATTGATCAAGGCTGGCCTTGGTTACAAGACTGAGTGTCTGGTTAGTCAGGGATATAAGAGAGACCTTCTTTCAAAAACCAAAACAGAACTCAACAAAAATGATACTACTCAAAATGATACTATGAAAACATTACAACAACAAAAACCTCTCCCAAACTTATAGAGCATTTCTGGTTTTGTGGCCATGACTTCTGTATGGTTAGTAGCTAGTTGTAGCTGCCGCCTTTGGATTTAATATTCACCTGTAGGAGGAACACAGCTTTCTCTGACTGAAGTTGTTTGAGGAATTCATGATTCTCATTTATTTAAATGCAGGATTACAGAGTTTTTAATTATTAGTCAAATAGATTAAATCTGAGTTAACTAAGTGAGAAAACATTTTGAAATATGAGGTCACTGAAAACATCTGTGCACTTAAAAAATCCGATTTTGGTTTGGTATGTGGGCATTATAATGATGGGTGGATGAAATTATGGAAGTTTTGATCTATTTAAGCTTTAGATCTGTCATATACCCGTAAGTTTGGGATCGCTACTAAATTTCAGTTGAAAAATATCTGTATGGTCAGGCTTGAAAACCATAGGCCTTTAATCCCAGCCCCTGGGGACAGAAGCAAGTGGATTTCAGTGAGTTCAAGGCCAGCCTGATCTACAATGAGTTCCAGGGCAGATAGGGTATTATAGTGAGACTGTCTAAAATAATAATAATAATAAAAACGAGTGGTGGGGATTTTAAAGAGAGGATGAGATGGGATGTTTCTTTGTAGGTTTGCCATTTCAAGGGCAAATACATCTCCCGCGTCCTGACTTCGCAGTAGCAACCCTGCACACTTAAATGACAGTGCTCAAGCACCTGCATGGGACACCACGATATGCTTGTTACTCCTAGTTCTGCACTTGCGGTAAGACCTGATGCACTGAATAAGTAGATGAGTATCGATTCGTTCCTCCTTGGAACTATCTCCTCTTTAGAGAAGTGCTCGGAGAGACCCACAGCTGATCTCCCTAAATTTAGAGTAAACTGAGTCCCGACAATTTGGCTCAGGAGTCAGGCCGAGAACGACCTCAAGTAAGTTAGGTGCCGCAAGTCGGAAGTAGGTCAGGAGTTCCAGCTTCAAAGTTTCATCCCAGGGCCTGTGACAGTAGTAACCAACCCTCATCCGAGCCTGGCCTTACAGACGCTTACCTGTCTTAGCACCGGCCGCCAGCCGGAAACATTCACCAACAATCTAAACCACGAAGGACCAAGGACCGCAGTCTGCGTTTTTGGCTTTTTTTTTTTTTTCCCCCAGGTCTGCGCATGCGTCCTACTTCGGCGGCTTCCCTAGCCTGGCAGAGGCTCATTCTCAGCAACTACGCATGTGAGAAACCGAGGCGTCTTTCCCGCAGTTTCTAGAGAACCAATCGGCAGAGGTTTTGACCTCAAGCCCCACCCTCCCGCCTCCGGCGTCGCCCTGCCCTCTTTGGCGACGGCTGCGTCAGGGAGAAGGGGGGCGTCTGTCTGCGGCGGCTCGGCCCTCTTCTGGGCGGCCAATCGCGGGTGAGACGCCGGGCGCGCACGCTCCTTGGAGTTTAACGGTCGCGTGAGGCCAATTTCTCGACCCTGACCAGACAGAGGCGAGGAGGCCAGGTAAGCGGTCGCGGCTTTTGGGGAGCTGCGTGCCGCGAGGGCTGCGGATCGAGTCCTAGACGATCCCATCGGAGGGGACCCCCTTGGGTGCGTTGACAGGCTAGGGTGAGCTTGCCGGATCCCGCCGGCGTGTGCGGGTCTGCTGGTGCGTGCGCCTTTTCTAGACTCGTGCCCTTGAGTGACATCAGCGAGGCCCAATCGGAGAGCGGCCTTTGCAAGGGGCGTGAGTGCCTCCTTCCCCCCCTCCCCACTTTCCCATGGGTAGTGGTACCCGGCTTCCTTTGGAAATCACAGTGGCAGTGAGTGACTCTCCATCATCCCTGCTGCCTTGTATGCTCTCGCCTCTGGTCCTGAACCGATAGCCGCTACCAGCGACTAGGGTCTGGCTTCAACGCCTGCAAACCAACTCGAACTGGTTCCTTTTCAGCCTCCCCGCAAAGAGGAAGCTCTGTGAATTTTCAGATTGTTAATGCTACTCCATCACTCCTGCCTCCGACCCCAAAGGGTTGTAGGATGAAGTACAGAACCATCGTTTTTTGGTTCTGGAAATTACATATTTTAAAATGTGTGTTCCTATATTCATTTTCTGTCAAGCTTATTCTGAGGTCCACAGCAGATTTCCCCTTTTCTCCTCGCCCTTTCCCGTGCCGGGAGAGGTGTCATTGAATTTCCAGAGGTGTTTCTGTCTGTATCTTCTGCATCATGTTTTCCTCAGTGGAGGTGGAGGTGGAGGTGGGGGCGGGGTGGGGGAGGGGGCCTGTGAGAAGAGATGGGGCTGTGTAGATCCACCTCTGTGGAGAACTTGCGGCCATTTGAATCCAGGTATTTTCTTTGCCAGATGGAAGAGGCTGCGCCTGACTTTTTCAATGTCCCATTTGTCGTTGGTGATGGGCCAGTAGTCAAGTCCATTTAGTTAGGTCTGGTCATCCTTTGCCTCTGTATCTGTCCTGGAGGAAATGCTTCTTTAACTTCAACGAACCGATTGTGTTCTTCAAGACCTGGGAAGTGAGAGTTAGGTGGAACAGAAATATGAGAAAGTTCTTCCGATGAGGTCTCTAGTCTTCTCATTTTATAAGCAGCATGTGATTGTTTTTTTTTTTTTCCCCCTTGTCTTCTCTTCCCCCGTCTTTTTTAAATCAATGGATTCTGGAAGGATGAGGTATATGGTTGGGCATATAACAGCAACTTTATCTTTGTATATCCAGATTCAGTGTAATTTTAGTTAATTTATGCAGAGTAAAAAGGCTCTATAGTGAGAATTGTATATTCAGCCATTTTTAACAGTTAAATAGCCTTTAAGCACCAATTTAAAGTGACTACATAAGTTAGCAAAGACTTCTGCAACACAGGACTTATTAAATAAGTGAACCAGGCCTGGAAGTATTCCATTTATTACATAATAGAGTGCACCTAGAACCTTGATTATTAAGCTCTGAAATATTGCCTGTGGGAGATCATGTGATTCTTACAAGTTACCTTAAACAGACATATGATTCCTATTCATAAGCTCCATCCTGTTGAAAACGTGATTTATGGGTTTTACAGAGAAAAAAAAAGCTAATTCTAAAACTTTTCATCAGCCCAAGATGAAAAGTGTCTACACAGAAGTATAAATGAGGTCATAGAATAGTGTTTTTTTGTTTTTGTTTTTGTTTTTTTCTTAGAGACAGGGTTTCTCTGTGTAGCCCTGTCTGTCCTGGAACTCACTCTGTAGACCTGGTTGGCCTCAAACTCAGAGATCCACCTGCCTCTGCCTCCTGAGTGCTGGAACTAAAGGCATTGGTCCCCACTCCCCAGCTTGAATAGTGGTCTTTTTTTGTTTGTTTGTTTGTTTTAATGGTTGTTTTTTAAACTTAGCCTAATGTTTTCTGTAGTTTCTCTATAGTAGCACAACTCTCTTGTGGACTAGTATATTCCATCACATGGATGTACCATGTTGCTATGTTTCTTTGTCTGCAAAGGGACATTGGGGTTGTTTCTACACTCTGGCAATTGTGAATACTATTGCTATTCTTTTTACATTTTGTTAAATTTAATTTGTGTGTGTGTGTGTGTGTGTGTGTGTGTGTGTGTGTGTTCTGTGTACTACATGAAGGACAGAGGAGTCCATTCCCACTTTCCGTCATGGGTTCTGGAGCTTGAGTTTATGTGGGTTGGGCTTCCTGGCAAATGCTCTTAGCCATCGAGCCCTAATATTGCTGTTCTTTTTGTTTGTTTGTTTTTTCCAGAAAGGATTTCTTTGTGTAGCTTTGGAGCCTGTTGTAGAACTTGCTGTGTTCTTGAGAACCAAGCTGGCCTCAAATTCACAGAGATTCACCTGCCTCTGCCTCCCAAGTACTGGGATTAAAGGCTTTCACCACCATATCCAGCTGCTGTTTTTTTTTTTAAATAATTTATTTAAATTTATTTCATGTGCATTGGTGTGCAGGTGTCAGATCCCCTGGAACTGGAATTACAGAAAGTTGTGAGCTGCCATGTGGGTGTTGGGAACTGAACCCAAGTCCTCTGGAAGAGCAGCCAGTACTCTTAACTGATGAGCCATCTCTCCAGCCCCTGGGCTGCTGTTCTTAATGTAAATGAATTTGATAGGTTTCCAAAGCCATGAAAATAGTGGGTAAACTTAATGGCCTTTTCAGTAGTTTTTCCCCATTCATTTTCAGACTCTTTGGAAGTGTAGCAGACTTCACAGTTCTGAATGTCAGCTGCTGAGGATGCTGGTAGATGATGAAGCAGCTGAAGAGGACTCGGAATCAGTCTCCTTCAGGAGAAGCAAGAGTGTTTCCAGATGACAGAGCTTAACAATTTTTGTACAATATGGAGGATTTTGATTTGGTGGAAACTTTACAAAAAATTTCACCTTCTGTAGACTCTGACATCAGAAGTACTCCCCATTCTCTTGGGTTGAGCTTGTGTACTAATAGGTAAGAATTGTTAGATACTATTTTTCTTCTTTCGAGACAGGGTTTCTCAGTGTAATAATCCTGACTGTCCTGGGACTTCCTTTTGTGGACCAGGCAGGCCTTGAACTCATAGAGATCTGCCTGCCTCTGAACTCCCAAGTGCTGGGATCAAAGTGTGCACCACCACCACTCACCAGAGAGTCAGATAGCTTTAAATGTAAAGATTTTTTTGACAGATTTGTGTATTATAAATAAACTGCTTTAAAAATTGTTCATTTTGTGCCTTTCTTGTGAGGAATTTGAAGTGGCTTTAAGAGTGTATGTTATCACATGGCATAAGGTAGTAAGAGAGAAACATGTAAAAGCCTGAGAAATGGCCCAGAAGAAATGTCTGATGCAGTGCTCTGCGTTGAAAGCTCAACTCTGGTCCACATTTTACCTTTTGTCTTATTTGGTGGTCCCTCTGAAATCTACTTGTAGAAGGAATTCCCTTTAATGCTTGAATTGCCTTTGCTTTTCTCATGAAGTTTGTCATTGAACTTGTATTCCTTTTCTTTGTGACTGGCACTTAAACCACCACGTTGAAACTAGATCATTGCAACTCTGTAAAGTCCTTATGGACAACATATATTTTAGAGTTTACTATATTCTTGCTCTTGAATTTTTACTGATTCTTTTTCTGGTCCTAACTTTATTATTTTAATATTTTCATTTTTGTTGTGTGTGTGTGAAACAAAGAGGTCTACTCAGTAAGTAAATAAAATTGTCCAGGGACTGGGAATGTAGCTCCTTTGGTTGAATCCTTGTCTGGCATGCAGCAAGCCGTGGGTTCCGTTTCTTACACAGCACAGATCAGTAATCATGGCTCATGCCTCCAATTCCCGCACTTGGGAGGAAAAGGCAGGAAGAACAGCCGTTCAAGGTCATCCTCTCCTACATAGTGGATTTGAGGCCAGCCTAGCATACATGTGGCTGAAAAAAATAATTACACTAAACTGGGGGAGAGATGGCTCAGTGGTTAAGAGCACAGGCTCTTCTTCTGAAGGACCTGGGTCCAATTCCCAGCACCCCACATGGTAGCTAACAACTGCCTGTAACTCTAGTTCCAGGGTATCCAACACCCTCATAAAGGCATATATGTAGGTAAAACACCAGTACACATAAGATAAAAATAATTAAATTATTTTAAAAATCCCAAAAATTTGTTAAAAAAAAACAATAAAACTAAAAATGTCCTGAGTTGTGCTTAAGGAGTTTATAAACAAGTCTGAAGTCATTCCACAATTGGAAGTCTTCTGGAAAGTATTAGTGCTCCATTATACACCACACAGGCTCAATAAATCCTGTCTACTGGCTGCTAATTGACTTGGCAGAACTTTCATTTAAAGACAATCTGGCGGTCAGCACAAGCTTATCACATGAAATCTGAGGGTCTAGTTACTAGGATTGACTGTTCTGGGCAGCGAGAGATACTCCTTAGTGCACAATGGAGGGCTGTTGTTAAAGTGGGCCAAATGACTCTCTAGAATAATTCAGAGAAGCTGGGACGTCCCCCTGAAGTTTCTGCTGGGTCTTTGGGGAGTTCCCTCAGTGCTGGAGGAGATCTCTGTGGTGCTCATAAAGAAGTGAGTGAGTGCTGTTGTCCTGTGTTGGCTTCCCTTTGTGATCAGATTTTTCAAAGGAGGTGCCATTAGGAGGATTAGGTATCAGTGGTTGTATACCGCTCTGTAGATTTTGAACTGCTGAATTATTCAACACTTGGGTTGAATGAAGAAAACCATCTGAATTATTTATGTTTCAACAGAAGTAGTCCCCACCTTAGTACAAATGGGGTATCCTCTTTCTCAGGGAAGACCGGGCCACCTGTCATTCAAGGCACAGTCGAAGTCCTCACCGCTTTAACACAAGAGCTGCAGAACAGTGGCTGGACTGACTCAGAACTTTGGAAGAACTGTGAGGTATCTTGTTTTGTTTTATTTGGGGGTTCTTGAAAAGAATTCCATTTAAATATTATATAAATGGGGCTCTTAGAAATTTATGTCTATAAAAGCATGATATTTAACTTTAGGGCTAAAGTCAAATGACCAGCATATTAACCAGGAACTGATATCAAAGGAACAAGAGGAAGGAGACAGGGGACATTGTGGCCTCAGTAGATGCAGATTTGAATATTCCCTTTGAACTGAAGTCTTTGTCCCGAGCACCCTTAGATTGTTACAATTGTTACTAATTACAGTCTTCTAAGTGACTCCTCAAGTTGTCCCAGTTTTGAAAAATCTTAATCTACTTTGCTTGCAGTATATTGAATGCTCTGATGATAGATTAAGGCCTCTCTATCTGTTGCCTAACACATTCTTCTGATGCGCTGAGCTGTCTGCTTTTCATGGCACTGATTTTTTTGGTTCAACTGTGATGGAACTTTAATTCTTATCAACATCTCAGAGTTGAAGCTTGGTGTGGAAGGAAGCTGGTGGTGGTGTGCTCACCTAGCACTGTAAACAAGCAGGGGAAAAAGGGAAAATCACAGAAACAAACTTGGTCTAGACGGACACATAAGAGGATGCTTACAAAGTTTGTTTTGGAAAATAATATTCAAGATGGCCTTTTCTTAATTGTTTTTTTTTGTTTGTTTGTTTGGAGACAGGGTCTCATTATGTAGATCTGGCTGGCCTGGAACTCACTGTGTAGACCAGGCTGGCTTTAGTCTCAGTGATTTGCCTGACTCTGCCTCCTAAGTGCTGGGACTAAAGGTGTGTGTGCTACCATGCCAGGCCTCTTTGCTTTTTAGACTACGTAAGAGGTTGTAATGCTTTATAGAAATGCAAATATAATTATCAAACTGTGGGCTGTAGATTTTGTTTAACATTAATTGTATTTTTAGAACCATAACTTGTATTTTTAGATTATAAAATGGAAAGATTTCCTGATTTAAGAATTCAGTAGCAGCCACCCCAAGTGTAGTCACTTTAAAGAATTTGCATTTAAAATGGACTTATACTAAAAATAAGCTTTTCAGGTTTTTGGGAGGTGGTGGTAGTTTGAAGCAGGGTCTCACTCTAGCTTAGGATGCTTGAATTCGTTCTGTAACCCAGCCTGGCCTTCAGTTCATGGTAGTTAGTCTTCCTGCCTTACCCTTCCAAGTGCTGGGATTTGGCGTTTGAGCCACCGGAGTTGGCAACTTATTAGTTTTCTCACTTGGTTTTTATGTTCTTCCACCTAACAATCACTGTGAGCTAATGAGGAAGACCCATAAAATGTCCTTGTGGCATGATGCTGTTGGATGACACAGGATGGCCTGGTCTGGGGATGTAGCTCAGTGGCATGGTGCATATTTAGCGTGCACGAAACCCTGGGTTCTAATCCGGCATGGAGGAAAACAAGTTTAATGAACTGTTTTTCCTGTGTGTCTGTCTTTTCATTTGCTTGTGACCAGTAACATGTAAGAAAGACCCAGAGCAACTACCACAGCACTGTTTATTTCCGACAACTTGTGTTTATTAGAAATTGTTACTCTAATACTTTGAATCAGCACCTGATGTCAGAGACAGACTGTATTTGTGGGTGTAATGTATTGATGTAAGAAAATGATTGCACCTGGATTTCCCTGTGGATGATCTTCTTCAGGCTGCATTGGTTCCAGGCTCATAGCCTGGCCTGGGCTCTTATTTACAGGCTCAGCTTACCTTGGTGCAGGGTCAATGGATGTCTGAGGAGGAAGGAGAGGGGGCTGGAGTTTTAGAAGCCTGTTTCTGCTTGTGTGTCTTCACTGATGTAACGTTTTATTTTACTGTGTTTTGTGAATGCCCACCTGATTCTGTGAGGTTGACTACTCAGTGAAGAGCCTCCTGCTGCTTCTTCAGAAAGGGCAGTGCACTCACTCTCTGGTCACTTCCCTAGAATTTCCTGGTTTTATTTAACATACTTTCTAGTGTGTGAGAACAGTAGAAACCGCTAATGTTGTACTGTTTTGGGAACAGAAACGTCAGGTGTTGTGTAAGCCTTAGTCTGATGGTTTTCCCCGAGTTTCTGGTTTCATGTCCCTTCTGGAATAAGATCTTTTGATTCCTGTCACTCAAAAGGGACTAATCTACTTTGCTAAACACAAAATCTTCCTTATTCTGAGTGGGCAGAGTGACAATATCCTTAGTTTGCTTTAGCTAGAACTTGTTAGCATTTTAGCACTTTGGATTATGTATACAACAATAACAGTTATAGAATGAAAATAAATGTTTACAGTTTATTGTCTCTTTGCCAGGTAGTACACTAGACACTTGTTTGTAGCACTCACTCTGGAGGCCTCTCTAGAGCAGTTTTTTTTTTTTTTTTAAGTAAAGCAGTTCATATTATTCTGAAGTGAAATTTACAGGTAAAATAACATTTGTACTAACTTTTAAAAATTAGTATAGGTGGTGTTGTAGGCCTTTAGTCCCAGCACTTGGGAGGTAGAGGCAGGCAGATCTGTGTTAGTTCAACTATAGGTAGCAGAGTGCTTGCTTATTATTCACCTAATAATAAGGTCAGTCTGCAGCCATGCATGCCTGCTAATGTGCATGGACACACTCACATACACCCCTCCCTACCTGTGATATGAAGGAAATGGAAATTGTTATAGCAAAACAATATTACCTTATGTACGTGCTACATCTGTGTTCATAGCATGTCTGTGAAGTTCTCTGGTGTCTCTGTAGTTTATAGACCCCCTGTGAGGGGAGCAGCTAAAGAAGGAATGTACTATTGATACTCTGATGACTGAAATTAGAGTAATGTTCTCTTCTGAGCAAGGGACCAGATTCATTTCTGAAATGAATTGTTTGGGGCAATATGCACAAAACTGCACAAAAATAGTTACTGTTTTTCTAATATAAAACAGGCACAAGGTAAGAAAGAGAGAAATGCTTGGGATGGTGGAAGGAGATGTTCTGGGGTTGTGGGTTGGGAGGACGGCAGTGTGTATGAAGAGCTGGGCAGAGAGCTCCCAAAGCTGGGAGGTGGAAGGCATTTCTACATGCCCAAAGATCAGGAAGAGGCTGGTGTGTGGTGAACAAGAGATACAGAGGTGGTGTGGCGTTGGGAGGAGTGTAGCAGCCAAGCAGTACAAGGCAGTAAACAGTGATAGGGTGGAAAGCCTGGAAGGTTTTAAACAGCAAGTCTGGTTTTCAGAATGGCTCCTCATGATACTGTGTGTCACTTGCATACCGTCTATTGTTGAGCAGGTAATTACCAGACTTAAGATGGGATTTATCCTGGAGAATGTGTGCCCCTGGCTTGTTTTGTGTCTCTAAGGGAAGTGCTTACTGCTCTTGGTAGTCAGGAGGAATCATGACCTTAATGGCTCTGAAGGGAAGTTGAGGCCAGTTCCACGGGACTCTGGGGAATTAGCTCTTCATTCCTTGCACTTTGAGCTCCACACTGTTTGGAACACTTTAGTTAAAGTAAAAGTATTCTACTATTTCTGTTTTAGGATGTGATACTCTTCTGGGTACATTTCAGTACATAAGGAAATTGTTAGCTTTTATGAGGGGTAAGAATGAAGAACTGCAGACAAATCTAGAGGCTGGGGAGATGGCCTGGTTAACAAAGTGCTTGCCAAATAAGCATGGAAACCTGACTTTGATTCCTAGTGTCCACAGAAAAAGCTGGGGAGGGCAGTGGCTCTTGTAGTCCTAATGTTCTAGAGGTAGAGCTGGGACTCCTGGGCTAGCTAGCTTTTCAACATTGGCAAGTCTCAGATCCTGTCTCAAAAAACAAGGTGGGTAGCTCCTGAGGAATGACAATTGAGGCTCATTTCTGTCTGGTTTCCATACATGTTCACGCATGTATGGGTGCATACACACACATATACAGATGCACAGCCAAGGTGCAACTATTAGGAGGTCTTTTGTCTCCACGTATAGTCTAAGCCAGTCTCCCTCCTGCCCCAGCTTACTGAGTGCTGGGACAATAGGTATATGCTGTTGTACCTGGTTCTGTCTAGTATTTTATTAATCAGAAATAAAAGGGCCAGTGAGATGGCTCAGTAGTTAAGGATGCTTGTCTCCAGGCCTGAATACCTGGGTTCACCCCATGGACACCACATGGTAGAAGGAAAGAACTGCCTTCTATGAGAAATTCTTAACAATAGAGCTGGAGATGGCTCAGTGGCTAAGAGCACTCACTGGCTGTTCTTCCAGAGGACCTGGGATCAATTCCCAGCACACACGTGGCAGCTCACAACTGTCTGTAACTCCAGGGAAGTTGGCACCTTCACACAGATATATGTGCAGGCAAAACACCATGTGCATAAAATAAAAAAAATATTAAAAACGATTCCATCTGAAAATAAGGCACAGATTATTAAAAATAAGATGTTCAGATTGGCTGGGCGTTGGTGGCGCACGCCTTTAATCCCAGCACTAAGGAGGCAGAAGCAGGCGGATCTCTGTGAGTTTGAGACCACCCTGGTCTACAACTTTGGAGGACAGCCTCCAAAGCCACAGAGAAACCATGTCTCGAATAACAAACAAACAAAAGACTTGCAGATTTACCCAGATTTCAGTTACATTAAAAAAAAAAAAAACTTTTTTTTTTTTTGTCCTGGAACTAGCTCTTGTAGAACAGACTGGCCTCAAATTTACAGAGATCCACCTGCCTCTGCCTCTCGAGAGCTGGGATTAAAAGTGTGCGCCGCCACTGTCCAGCCTAAAAAAGATACTTAGCCTCTGCCTTTGTAGTGTTGCACTAAATATAAATTTTGAGCTATTTAAACTGGCCTGTAAATTTCACACTAAATAATAATTTAAAAAGAGTTTTTTTCAGCCGGGCATTGGTGGTGCATGCCTTTAATCCCAGCACTCGGGAGGGAGGCAGAGTCAGGCGGAGCTCTGTGAGTTTGAGGCCAGCCTGGTCTACTGAGTGAGTGCCAGGATAGGCTCCAAAGCTACACAGAGAAACCCTGTCTCACAAAACCAAAAAAGAAAAAAAAGAGTTTTTTTTTTCCAGGTTTTGTGCCTGTAATTCCAGAACATAGGAGGCTAGGCAGGTGGATTGCTGTGAGGTTGAGCCCAGACTGGGCTACATAGTGGGTTTCAGGCCAGTCTGGGCTACAGAGTGAGAGACCCTGTCTTAGAAAAATCAGACAAAGATTCTCACTAGAGCATTTTTCTTGTGATGTCTTAGGTTAAAGTTATGTTCAGTAAAGATTCTTTGTAATTTTTTAGGCCAGGTGGTTGCAGCTGTTCAGTGTGGTTGAGCGACGATGCCAGGAGCAGGTTGTCGCCCAGCAGGAGCAGTTCCACAGGCAGATCCAGGTGAGTTGCCTTGAGCATTGATGCTGTTTATTTGTGAGATTTTCAGACAAAGCAGCTCACACATTGATTTTATTCATGAAGATAAGACATCACATTTAGAGCAATAGTATTAAAAATGTTTAATGGACTTCTTTCCCCTGTCTGTTCTCAGCGCATCCAGGAGGAGATAAGGAAGTTAGTGAGACTGCAGCTCAGCAGTGCTCCCCGGCCGTCCTGTAGCAGCAGCTCTGTGAGGGAGCAGGCGTCCTCAGAAAACCAAATGGGCTTCTTTTCTGAAAACAGCAAAAGAAATGAGTCTGCTCTCAGTTACCCAGAGTCCAAGGAGCCTAAGACACAGCCAGATTCATCCACATTCCATCCAGACTGCAATGTGGACAGCAGCTCAGTGAGTAGTGGCTACGGCACCTTCTGCATCCTGGAGATGAACACCCACAAGGCTAAGGAGCCCATGGAGCCTGAGGCAGCTTCCCAGGGGCAGCGCACAGCCCCTGCGGTGCAGACACATGCCCCTGTGGGTGATACAGCAGCCATAAACTTTTTTGCACAGACCCCTGAAGAGCTTTGTGCATCTCTAAAGGAAGATGTCTCCACTTTTCCTGGTGAATTTGAACATAATTTTCTTGGTGAAAACAAGATTTCAGAAGTATACAGTGGAAAAGCAAATAGGTAAATCGAATTCCTCTAACTTGACGGGGCTTCTACTTGTTTATTAATGACATTTAGAATGTAGTAAATACTTCTTTTTGTTTGGTCCACAGTAGAATAACAGGTATTTGGATACGAATCAGTTTTATCATTAAAACCTGAGTCTAACATTTGAGTTGCATGTGGAGAACTGAAATCAACAAGCCCAGTGTATAACAACTCCTGACTCTTCCTCTGTGCAGTGATTTAAGAGTGTTAAATGTGGCCGGGCGGTGGTGGCGCACGACTTTAATCCCAACACTCGGGAGGCAGAGGCAGGCGGATCTCTGTGAGTTCAAGACCAGCCTGGTCTACAAGAGCTAGTTTCAGGAGAGCCTCCAAAGCCACAGAGAAAGTTAAATGTGGGGATGGAGAGAGGGCTTGGTAGTTAAGAGCTCTGGCTGCTCTTTTACAGGACCTGAGTTCTGTTCCCAGCACACACATGGTGGCTAACAATTATAATTGCAGTTCTAGTTGATCTAACACCCTCTCCTGACCCCCTTGGGCACACTACACACATGTAGTGCACATATATAGCTTGCAGGCAAAATACCCATACACAAAATCAACCTTTAAAAAAGACTCTTAAACTTAGGCTGTGTATGGTGGTGCTTGAGAGGCAGAGGCAGGAGGATCTCTGAGTTGGAGGCCAGCCTGGTATATTAGAGTGAGTTCTAGGACATTCAGGACCATCCCCAAAAGAAAAGAAAAAGCAAAAATCAGAAATATCCCAAAGGAAAAAAAAAAACCCAAAACAAAAAACAAATCTTAGGAAATTTTGTTGTTTACTCTAAGTTTTCAGTTTTACACATCTGAAATGTTTTTTATGAGCTGGGCATGGTGGTACATGCCTTTAATCCCAGCAGAAGCAGGTATATCTCTGTGAGTTCGAGGCCAGCCTGGTTTATATAGAAAGTTCCAGTACAACCAGGGCTATATATAATAGAGAGACCCTGTCTCAAAAAGAAAAAAAAAAGGAAGAAAGAGAGTTAGGAGAATCAGGGTCAGTGGAATGGCTCTGTATAAAGGTGCTTGCCATGCAAGTTTGATGACCTGAGTTCTATCCTCAGAACCCATGGTGGAAAGAGATAATTGATTTCACAGAGTTGTTCTCTGACCTGTATGTGTACACTGTGACATGCATACATTATGTGCATATGCAATAAATGAATGAATGAATGAATAACACTTTAAGAAAATGAAATTTTCAGTTGGAGAGATGCTCAGTGGTTTAAGAGTGCTTGCTGCTGTTACAGAGGACCTGAGTCTGGTTTCCAGCATCCACAGTGGCTCACAATGACCTGTAACTCCAAGTGTGGGGTACTAATGTCCTCTTCTGCCCCTGCAGGCACCAGACATTCATGCAATACACATACATACATCTAGGCAGAACATTCATACACATATGTTTTTGCTTTTTAATTTTACGTGTGTTGGTGTTTTGTGAGATTATCAGATCACCTGGAGCTGGAGTTACAGATAGTATATGCTGCCGTGTGGGTTCTGGGAATTGAACCAGGTCCTCTTAACCCCTAAGCCATCTTTCCAGCCCCAGTATAAATAAATCTTTAAAATAAGAAAGAGATTTAGGAGAATCAGTAAAACATAATTCTTTTTTTTTTTTTTTTTTTTTTAAAGACATGGTTTCTCTATATAGTCCTGTCTATCCCAGAACATGCTGTATACACTAGTCTGGTCTCAGACTTATGAGATCTGCTGCCTTTGCCTCCTGAGTGCTGGAATCAAGATATGCACCATTGTACCTGCCTCTTTTTACTAGTAGAAAAGCAAAACACTGCCCCCTGAAGCACTAGCAACTGTGCTGACTAAATGCTTTTAAAGAAAGTAATCTTATTTTCCTCTTTTTAAATAGTAAGTCTATAACATCATGGGCACAAAAGCTGAAGCAGAACCAGCCAAAGCAAGCACATACAGAAGATGGCTACTCAAGACCTAAGCCAGGGATCGAGTCAAACTGGAAGCCTCCAGTTGAAACAGTAGGTGATGAGTGGCTCTTCTAGCATGCTGTGGCTTCTGATGGTCACACTGGGATTGCTGTGTTTTTAAAAGTCCTTTGTTTATTACAAATATGCACACATGTATATTTTTTAATTCTGGCACGGGGTTTTTCTATGTCCTATTTTTCTGGCTGTCCTGGAACTTGCTCTGTAGACCAGAACTCATAGAGATCTGCCTGCTTCTTCCTCCTGGCCCTGGGATTAAAGGTGTATACCACCACCACCTGGCTTTTTTTTTTTTTCTAAAGACTTATTTAATTTCATATGTATGAATGTTTGCTTGCATGTATGTGTATGCACCATGTGCATGCAATGCCTTTGGAGGCCAGAAGAGGGCATGGGATCCTGTGGCTTTACTGGTGGTTATGAGTCACCATGTGGGTGCTGGGAACCAAGCCCCTGTTCTCTGTAAGAGCAGCTAGTACTCCTAATTGCTGAGCCTTGAATTTCACATATCTTTTCTTTCTTTCTTTCTTTCTTTCTTCTTTTTTTTTTTTTTTGGTTTTTTTTTTTGGTTTTTTGAGACAGGATTTCTCTGTGGAGCTTTGGAGCCTATCCTGGCACTCTCTCTCTGGAGACCAGGCTGGTCTTGAACTCACAGAGATCCACCTGCCTCTGCCTCCTGAGTGCTGGGATTAAAGGCGTGCGCCACTAACGCCCGGCCACATATCTTTTTTGGTTCCAGGATTAACTGTGATTTACTGTAAATCCAGCTTCTTTAGTAGGCTGGACATTAAAGCTGATGAAGGACAAAATTCTACAAAAATGAAGAATGAGAGATGGTTAAAAATGATGGCTGCCTTCTAGAGGACCTGAGTTCAATTCCTAGCACCCAATGGCGACTCACAACAGTGTGTACTCAAGTTCCAGGGGATCTGATGCCCTTTTCTGGCCTCCACAAGTACTGCACCCACATGCATAGACATACATGCAGGCATAACATCCATATAAAAATATAAACATACAAAATTAGAAAAGGGTGGCTTATAGAGCTCCTATTCTCTTTGTATGAAATGTTTGCATTTAGCAAGAAAGTAATCCATTGGAAAAAAAATACCAGTGGGCAGGAGAGATGGCTCAGAGGTCCTGAGTTCAATTCCTGACAACCACATGGTGGCTCACAACCACCTGTAATGAGATTTGGAACCCTCTTCTGGCCTACAGGGATAAATTGCTGGCAGAACACTGTACACATAATGAATAAATAAATCTTAAAAAAAAAAACAAAACAAAAATACCAGTTTGCTGGGTGGTGGTGGTACACACCTTTAATTCTAGCACTCAGGAAGTAGAGGCAGGCGGATCTCTGAGTTCCAGGCCAGTCTGGTCTACAGACTGAGTTCCAAGACAGCCAAAGCTATATAGAGAAACCCTGTCCTGAAAAACCAAAAGTAAATAAACAAATTAAAAGCTTCTTTAAAAAAACATTTATTTATTTATTTATTTATTTATTTAATGTACACTGGGGTTTTGCTTGTATATACTCTGTGTGAGGATGTCAGATACCCTGGCACTGGAGTTACAGACAGTTGTGAGCTGCCATGTGGGTACTGGGAATTGAACCCGGGTCCTCTGGAAGAACAGCCAGGTCTCTTAACTGCTGAGCCATCTCTCCAGCCCCAAATTAAAAACTTTGACTCGGGCATAGCGCAGTGGTAGAGTACTTGTCTGATGTGTGCACATGAGCCTCTAGTATTGTTCTCCAGCACAGCAAAGTAGACGTTCAACTAGCATATATTAGTACGTTGCAACAAGTAGTACTGTGTGTGCCAAGTACTTTGAAATACCTTTCTTAGGATTGCTGAAATTTGGACAATTCTGATTTTATAATCTGAATTGCAAATTGGTAATAGATTAAATTCATTTTCTTGTGGCTGGGTTTGCTATATAGCCCAGGCTGCCTCCTCCACCTGACTGCCAGCTTCCTGATTAGCAGGATTTTGGTAGGTAGCAAGATGAAATGTTTACACTCTGTGGAGATTTTGCTGACCCAGTAACTCCATTTATTAAAGGGTCATAGACACCAAGTTGCAGTATGTGTGTGATGCCACCATGGCCTAAACTCTAATGGGATAGCACTGCTTAGTGCCATACATGCAGGTTCCAAAATAAGTTCTTGAACAAGCTGAGAGGCTTAGTGCCTTTGGAATGGGGTGTGTCCTGATCATCATGAACATGGGCTTGCTATTATCTTAGGGAAAATGTCTAATAAAAAAGTTATATTTCCTCAGTCTTTTTTGTTTGTTTGTTTTTGAGACAGTGTTTCTCTGTATTGTTTTGGAGCCTATCCTGGCACTCGCTCTGTAGACCAGGCTGGCCTCGAACTCACAGAGATCTGCCTGCCTCTGCCTCCCGAGTGCTGGGATTAAAGGCTTGTGCCACCAACGCCTGGTTTATGTTCCTCAGTCTTGATTTTTGTTTTTGCATTTATCTACTTACTTACTTTTTATTTACTTGGGTGTGAGTGTATACACTAAGCCCCCATGTGAAAGTCAGTGGACAGCTTAGGAGAATCAGGCTCTGGAGATGGAACTCAGGTTGTCAGGCACGGCAAAAAGCACCTGTATTCTCCCTTGGCCTTTTTTTAAATTTTAAATTTTAGTTTTATTTTTTGAGACTGGGTCTCATTGTGTAGCCCTGGCTAGCTGGAACTCACTATGTTGACCAGGCTGGCTAAAACTCAGTATGTAGACCAGGCTGGCTGGAACTCACTATGTTGACCAGGCTGGCCTGGAACTCACAGTGATCCACATGTCTCTGCTTTCTGAGTGCTGAGATTAAAGGTGTGCACCACCATGCCCGGCTTCCCTCAGACTTTTAAAGGAACTGTTTGTTCTCTTTTAGCTGTGCCCCCCTTTCTTTTTTTGAGGCACAGTGCCACACTGTAGCCCAGGTAACATTGAATGTATATTAATCCTCTTGCCTCAGTGTTTGAGGCACCACATTTGATACATTTTCTCTTTCAGCTTGTACTGTGTAGGCTTCCTAATGTTATAGTTCGTGGAACTCTCCAGGTTGGTGTTGAAGAGGAAGGGGGTGAAGGTGAAGCTTCATGAACCACAGATGTTCTCCCTGCAGTGTGGTCTGGAAAGGCCCATTAGTGTTCTGGAATCAGGCTCTCACTTTGAGCTACCGTGCCACCAATAGTGGGGTATCATTTTTTTGGAATGGTAGTCTGAAACTATTTGGAGATTAGGTTAGAAAATTGCTACTTTCTTTGTGGTTGTTTGACATAAAGTGAGAACATTCTCCTACATAATAGTTTCTTCTGTTTTGTAAAACTTAACACTGAAATGCCATCTCACTCTCCACCCCCCCCCCCCACACACAGAGATAGGGTCTCCCTATATAGATCTGGCTGGCCTCCAACTTGTGATCCTCCTGTCTCTGCCTTCTGACTTCTAGGGTTCCTTGGGTACATAAGCCCTGTATCATGCCCACCCTCCTTCTCTGTGTGTGTACATGTTGAGTGCCTGTCTCCTGCCACACCTTCAGCCCCAAGACTTTTCTGCTGCTGGTTTGTGGTTTTACTCCTGGTGGAGTCGGTGGGTTCTCATAGAGATCTATGTTTGTGACTCACTCTGTATTTGGTGTTGCCTCATGGTTCCCAGACTTCACTGTATGTTGGAGTCACCTGAGATTTAAAAGTGCACTCATGTTGGCTGCTTGTGTTAGGTGTTCTGACTTCTGGGGTTATGGGTCTGCCTGTTGCAGAGTTTTATATTCATGGGTATTGGTGTGGTGTGTAATAGCCTCTAAAAGGTAGTCCCAGGGTGATTTGGTTATGTGGTGTGTCTGGAATAGATTTGTCCGGTTGTCCTCATCAGGTCTACAGAGAATCAGACCAGCAGCCACCACCCTTGAACTCCTTGCAGCTAATCTACCCTGAGTGCCAGCAGGGTAGCCAAAGGAGGGGTGGTTTCTTCTACCATACCGTGGGCAATGTTAATTGTTTCTTATGGAGGATGTGTTTGGCATTAAATCATTTGGGGAAACTAAGTTTCTTTGGTGTCACTGAACTTTAAGTGATTTTGAGGTGATACTGGCCAATGACTAGGGATGACATACCTAATGCATTTCTTTGTTGGAGAATTCTGGATTCACAGAAGTTGGAACTTTACTTGAGCTTTTCTCTGTGCCCAGTGTTTTCAGTTTCATCCCACAATAGGACTGCTTAGCAGAATTCTCCTCTGATGGGCTTTTTCTCTTGCAAAGTGCTGGTTATTCTGGTAAATAGCTACTTTGAAGTCTGTCTTGACTTTGTGGATTGTTTGACACAAGCATTTTCCAGGGCTAAGTTGTTCTTTGTTTCTTTGGTCCTTTGTTTCCATTTCATGCACTTGGGTTTCTTTGTTGGGCTGTTAGGTTATACTTCTCAGTAGGTCCTTGAGCTGGGCTTAGGCCAGCATCTTTGTCGAAGAGCGCTTATGTTTAGATCACTTTTGTTGAATCATGCTATTACTTTATTTCAAGTGGCCCTTTTCTTCAGTGGATGTCCTTTTAAGGTAGTGTGGGTGTGGGGAGGGGAGTTTCATTTGCCCAGAGAGCTTGCAGTCAGCTGTTGTGTATAGCAGCATTCTAGTGCATGGAGTGCATTTGCTCTTGGCCTGAATATCGAACCTTAGCAGTATGAGGTCTAAATATTTTACTTGGGAGTATTTGACTTGGTCCTCAATCATCGCTTTCCCAGACTGGAACAGTCAAGTGTTCTAAGAAACAAATGGTGACTTAGGGTAGAAAGAGGTGGAGTGGTACCCTTTGCAGCAGACTTGAGATTAGCTTGTTCCTTCCAATAAAGTGCTGCCCAGCTCCTCTGGCTTATGGAGGATGGAAAGGAGGAGCACCTAGTAAGAATCGAGGAAAGTGTTGCGGAGTGTGGTGGCATGTACCTTTAATCCCAGCATTCTGGAGGCAGAGGCTGGCAGATAACTGACTTGCTAGTTCTAGGACTGCCTGAGATACACAGAGAAATTCTGTTTCGAAAAACCAGAAATAAAAGAGAAGAAGAAGAAGAAGAAGAAGAAGAAGAAGAAGAAGAAGAAGAAGAAGAAGAAGAAGAAGAAGAAGAAGAAGAAGAAGAAAGAGAGAGAGAGAGAGAGAGAGAGAGAGAGAGAGAGAGAGAAATGCCCCTGCTACACATCTCTGTTTGAGATAGCTTTTCTTTTCTTTGTAGTGGTGATCATGAAACCAACAAAGGCCGTTTGTGTGCAGCAAGCATTCCACTGTGCTATGTCCATTCCAGGAAAGTGTGTGTGTGTGTGTGTGTGTGTGTGTGTGTGTTCCTGTACCTGTAGGCACCTATGGAGGGCAGAAGATGGCATTGGATCCCCTGAAGCTGGAGGAGTTAGAGGTGGTTGTGAATCATCTGATGTGAGTGAGGGCTGTGAACTGAGCCAGAGTCCTTTGCAAGAGAAGTACTTGCTCCTAACTCTTAGCCACCTCTTCAACACCTTGTTTTGTTTTTGTTTGTTTGTTTGTTTGGTCCTTTGTTTTTTGTTTTTTGTTTTTTGCTTTTTGTTTTTTCGAGACAGGGTTTCTCTGTGGCTTTGGAGGCCGTTTTGGAACTAGCTCTTGTAGACCAGGCTGGTCTCGAACTCACAGAGATCCACCTGCCTCTGCCTCCTTGTTTTTTAATTAGCATGGGTAATAAGCACTTTTGGAACTAGCAGCCACTGTTTGTATATGAGAAGTAACAGGCTGAGAGCTTGGTGGTATACACCTGCAATCCTAGCACTTAGGGACTAGAGGGCAGGATGACAATGAATCCAAAGCCAGTCTGGACTTCATAGTGAACTCTAGACCAGCTTGGGCTATGTAGTAAGACCCTGTATCAAAAAACCAAGGACTGGGGGCTGGAGAGATGGCTCAGTGGTTAAGAGCACAAGCTGTTCTTCTAGAGGATCTGGGTTCAATTCCCAACATTCATGGCTCATCTGTAACTTTAGACTCAGGTGACCAGATACCATCTTCTGGGATCCATGGGCACCAAGCACAGAAGTGGTACACAGGCAAACAGGCAGGCAAAATACCCAAACATATAATGATGGTGATGATAAAAAATTAAAACCCCAGCCAGGCATTGGTGGTTCAAGCCTTTAATTACATCACTTGGGAGGCAGAGGCAGGTGGATCTCTGTGAGTTCAAGGCCAGCCTGGTCTCCAGAGCGAGTGCCAGGATAGGCTCCAAAGCTACACAGAGAAACCCTGTCTCGAAAAACAAACAAACAAACAAAAAACCAAAAAACAAACAACCAAAAAAATTAGAACCCCCAAGCCAATGGCTAAGGAATGTAGCTTATGGCAAAGTGTGTTTCTAGCATGTTCAGTGACCTGGGTTTGATCTCTAGCACCAACAAACTCAGAAAGGAATTTGTTATTGGGGGTGTGGAGATGATGAATTTTAATTTTAGGTCATCCTGGGCTACATAGCAAGGCCCTATCTCAAAGAAACAGAAAGAAGGGCTAGATTGTCACTTAGTGGTAGAGCATTTTGCCTAGTGAGCCTGGGTTTAATGTTATTCACAAACAACTCAAAAGTAATTTATTATTTGAGGTTCATTTTGATTTGTGTGTGTGTGTTTCTTTTTTGGTTCTTTCAAGTCAGGGTTTCTCTGTGGCTTTGGAGGCTGTCCTGGCACTCACTCTGTAGACCATGCTGGTCTCCAACTCACAGAGATCCTCCTGCCTCTGCCTCCCTAGTGCTGGAATTAAAGGCAACCAACGCCCGGCTAATTTTTTTACTAAGTGACTAATTCTAGATTTTTCAAATTACTGTGAGAAATCGATATCAGACTGTAAATACAGTTCAGTTCTGAACTCAGATCACGCTTGCCCTCTGCTTTCTAGTTCCTTGTAACAATCCTCTAGCTCCACCATGACCAAAAAAAAGAGCTTTGACAGATGGTGCAGTGAAGAAGCAGCCCACACTGTTGGTGTACTCCTGGGTCAGCAGTGTGTGCCTAATGCATTTAGCTGCCCACCAATTATACTCTGTCCTCTCTTGCAGTCCAACCTTTCTGCTGCCGCCACTCATCCTTGTGCCTTTTACCTCAGTAAACCAACTGAAAGCCCAAGTTCTTGCATGTCTGATTCAGGAACAGGTATGAAACTTAAATTATCTTTTACATTTTTAAAAAATTAATTAATTTTTAAAATTATATGTGCATTGGTGTTTTGCCATGGATGTCGGATTCCCTGGAACTGGAGTTAGACAGCTGTGAGCTGAGATGTGGGTGCTGGGAATTGAACCCTGGTCCTCCTGAAGAGCAGTCAGTGCTCTTAATCACTGAGCCATCTCTCCAGCCCCCCTCTATTAAATTTGTTTTGAGACAGGTCTCACTATATAGTCTTGACTGTCTTGGAACTCAATATGTAGACTAGTCTGGCCTTTAACTCAGAGAGCCTCCTGCTTCTGCCTCCCTAGTGCTAGTTTTAAAGGCGTGTGCCAGCATATGGTCTGAAACTTAAATTTAAAATAAAAATTCTAATCTTTATTTTAATTTATGTATATGAGTGTTTTGCTCACACATGTGACCATGCACTATGTCCGTGCCTGGTACCCTGGGAGGCCAGAAAAGGGTGTTGAATTCTCTGACCTGAAATTACAGCTGTGAGCCACTATTCGAGTGCTGGGAATTGAGCCTGGGTCCTCTGGAAGAGCATCAAGTGCTCTTATCTACCAAGCTCTCTCTCCAACCCCTGAACTTAGTTTATTTTACCCCCAGCTTGTTTTCATTTCCCATTGTGATATGAGAAGTGTGAGCAGTACCTGACTTTTCCAAAGGCACCATGTGCGGCCTATCCTCCCTTTCCACAACTTTCCCATTTGCCTTGGTTTGTGTTACAAATTCCACAAGAATAGGATGAAACAGCATCTCCACAATGGTTCTAGACAGCTGCAGAAATCATCACAGCCATTTTCTGTTGTTCCACAAGAGTTCAACCCCTCTGCAAGCCATGGCCAGCTGTTCTGTCTTCCTGGCTTTATGTGCGACTTGCCTATTTTAGCACCCTTTCTCATATGGCATGTCCACTTACCAGTTTGACTTAACTTTGATTGAACAGAAGCTGGAATTAACCATCTCTTCCTGTTTCCACTGCTCCCACAGCTGTGCAACTCCCTGTCGGTCACCTTCTGACCTGCCTCCCTGCCATCATTCGGACCTCAGCCTTCAGTCTGTTGGCAACATAATAGCCCAAGTGCTTCTTCTGTACATGGGACTCCTTCACTCAAAACTCTGCCAGGGTTCCCATATCCTCAGAATAGCTGCCAGCATCCTTACAGAACCCCACATGGCTCAGTAGGATGGAGCTGATTGCCACTCCTCCTTGTGGGGAGACTCTGCTCACTTTTGCCAGAGGTTCAAGACTTTGCCTGGCTGCCTCCTCCACACAAATGTTTCCTACTGGTGGGAGAAACTCTTCCTAGGAGTTGCTCTCTCACTGAACCAGCCCTCACTATCCTGTCCCCAGAACCCCTCCTTTTATGTGAACCTTGTTTCTTTCTGAAAAGGTCTTATGTAGTCCAGGTGGCCCAGTTGCTATTTAACTGATGAGGACTTGAACTCCAGTTCCTCCTTCCTCTCCCTCTCCAAGTGCTGGGATTCCAGCAGTGTGCCAGCATGCCGGCTTTATGCTACTCTAGTTCCAGAGCTCAGGGCTTCATGCATGCTAGACAAGCACTGTCCCAGCTGATCTGCATCCTTAGCCCTACTCCTTTGAGTGGGTATGGGTGTTCTGATACATGCATGTTCATGCATGTGGGGGCACACAAGCACATGCGTGTGCATGCTCGTTGAGGTTAGTCTCGTTGAGGGTGTTGGTTGTTAGGAACTCTCTAAATTCTTTTGAGACAGTCTCACTATGTAGCCTTGGCTGGCCTGGAACTCACTATGTAGAATAGGCTATCTTCAGATTTATGGTGACTCTCTTGCCTCTGCCTTCTAAGTGCTAGAATTACAAATGTATGTCACTATACCCAGAATTAATGGAGAATTTGAACTCTGTCTATTGATTATGTGGAAGTCTGTATTTGTAAATAAAATTCTCTTTAAAAGACATTTTTAGCTATTACTAATTTTAGTTGTTTATATTTTTGAAACTTTTTTTATTACATTTATTTATTTATTTATTTGGGAGAGGGGTACAAAACATATATGGGCTGGGTGGTGGTGGCGCATGCCTTTAATCCCAGCACTCGGGAGGCAGAGGCAGGTGGATCACTGTGAGTTCGAGACTAGCCTGGTCTACAAGAGCTAGTTCCAGGACAGTCGCCAAAGCCACAGGGAAACCCTGTCTCGAAAAACCAAAAAAAAAAAAAAAAAAAAAAAAAAAAAAAAAAAAGACATATATGGAGTTCTTTCCTTCCATCATGTGAATTCCTGGGCTAGAACTCAGGTCATTAGCCTTGGAAGCAAGAATCTTTAGTCTGCTGAGCCCTGTCACTGACCCGTGATGGAATTGTCTGTTTAGAACCTTTCCTTACTCCTTTCTGTTCTCTGTTTTGCACATTAGGGCTGACTTACTGGAAGTTGGAGGAGAAGGACATGTATCACTCTTTGCCTGAAACTTTGGAGAAGACGTTTGTACCGTCCTCCCCAGAAAGGCCACTAAGCCAGGTAATGCAGAGTACCCTGTGTGTGTATGTGCTTGTGTTTTATGATTGTAGGTAACTTTGCCATCATAGATTTTTGCATTGTTTCAACTTCTGAAATGCTGGAGAAAGCATAGAATTGAGAGTCAGACTTACTTTCCAATTATATCTCATCTCATTGTCAATATAATCTTAAAAAGATCACTTTAAAATGGAATTAAGCTAGGTGTAGTAGTAGTACATTTCCTTTGTCTTAGCACTGAGTATGCTGAGGCAGGTGGATCACTGTGAGTTGGAAGCCACCTTGGCCTACATAGTGAGACTCTATCTCAAGAAAACACAACAACAAACAGATATCCAGGCTGGGGAGAGAACTTAGTCAGTACATTGTTTGTCTTGCGGTCACGATAGTCCCTGAGTTTCATCCCCATAGTCTGTCTATGAAAAGCCTTGAGTGGTGGCATGTAGTCCTCACAATGCTCTGGGAAAGAGAAGCTGGAGCCAAGCAGGCTCAGTCCATCTGTCAGTCAGTCTCTGGGGCAGGATGGTCAGTCCATCCAACACAACAAAGACACCACCACCCCCCCCAAAAAAAAAAAAAACAAGAAAATATGACAAGAAAGTAAACACACAACAGTGAGAGAAATAAAATAAAACTCAAATTAAAAAAAAAAAAAAGCTGTGTGTGGAAATAAGCTATTCTAGCTTACTTGACAGAATTGTAGCACAGTGAGAGACCCTATCTCAAACAAAAGGTGGAAGATGCTTAAGGAATGACACCAGAGGTTGTCTTTGATTTATACACTAGCGTGCGTGCGCGTGGGTGCACCTACACACACACACACACACACACACACACACACACACACACACACAAACATGAACACATACACAGATACTGATTTCTGGTAAATTGTGTGTATTAGTGCATGCTGTAGCACTAGCTAACTGCTTGGGTGGCTACAGTGGGAAGATCACATAATCTGAGAGTTTGAGACCAGTCTAGGCAGCAGAGAGACCTAGTCCACACCCCCAACCAAAAAATCAATGGTGTCTTTGTGGGATTTAGTGGAGTCCCAAGTTTAAAACACATGGTGGGTAGTGGCACACAGGGCTGGAGAGATGGCTCAGAGGTTAAGAGCACTGACTGCTCTTCCAGAGGTCCTGAATTCAATTCCCAGCAACCACATGGTGGCTCACAACCATCCGCTATGAGATCTGGTGCCCTCTTCTGGTGTGCAGATATACATGGAAGCAGAATGTTGTATACATAATAAAAAACAAAAACAAAACAAAACCACATGGTGGTTGGGAAGATGGCTCAGCAAGTAAAGGTACCTGCCATCAAGCCTGACAACGTGAATTCATTTTCTGGGTCCCATATGGTAGAAGGAGAGAACTAAGTTTTCAGGTTGCCCTGGCACATCCCTGTGACTGGACACACATATACACATAAATAAATATATAAACATAATACAGATTTAAAGTTCTTATAAATACCTGTGTGTGTGTGTGTGTGTGTGTGTGTGTGTGTGAGAGAGAGAGAGAGAGAGAGAGAGAGAGAGAGAGAGAGAGAGAGAGAGAGAGAGAGAGAAACAGAGAGAAACAGAGAGAAACAGAAACAGAGAAAGAGAGAGAGAATGCACGCATGACTGTGCCTTTTTTGTGCCATTGTGGTTCTAGGGGCCTATGGAGGCCACAAAAAGGTTATGGGTAGTTGTGAACTGTCATGTGGTTCTGGGAACTGAAGCCTGGTTCTCTATAAGAACAAGTACTTTTACCTTTGGAACTATCTTGCCAGCCTCTGTTCTTGTTTTATTGAGACAGGGTCTCATATGGTCTGTTCTGGCCTGGCACTCAGTATGTAGCTGAACATGACCTTGATTATCCTGATCTTCCTGTCCCCACTGTCCTTGTTCTTTTCTGGGGCTACAGGTTTTGCTCAGCTAAAACTTGGTATTTTTAAAAATACAGTAATTTTGGCTGGAAAGATGGCTCAGAGTACTGACTACTATTCCAGAGGACCAGGTATAACTCCTAGCATCTACATGTCAACTTATAACTGTGTAACTCCAGTTCTAGGGGATCTGATGTTGCCTCTACAAGGGCACCAAGGATGCCAGTGGTACCCAGTCTTATATGCAGGCAAAACACCCATACACATTAGAAAAAAAAAAAAAAGCCCACACACGATAGGGTTCTATAATAGCAGCCAGTGCTCTTAACTGCTGAGCCACCTCTCCAGCCCTCAAACACTGGTTCTTTTGAGCAGGGAGACTATTAGTTTTCCATTGCTGTGAGAGAATGTGTAAAATAAACAATGTAAAGGACAAGAAGCTTATTGTGGCTCATGGTTTCAAGGTTTCAGTCCATTGTCACTTGGTCAAATTGCTTTTGGGTTTGTGGTGAGGCTGAAGAAGGTTATGGACAGAACAGAGAAAGACTGTTCTGTGAAGTGGAGGCTGTGCAGTAAAGAAAATGAGAGAAAAAAAACCAGGGTTCTAGTGTCCTTCAAGGACATGCCCCTGGTGACTGAACTTTCTTCTACTGGGCCCCACCTCTTCAAGGGTCCAGTGTTTTCTGCTGTCATTGTCAGTTGGGATACAGACCATGTCAGGGACCACTTAGGATTGTATTTGTGTACTGCTTGCCAGGTTCCAATTTCCCGTTCATCCCTGCTGTTAGGAGGTAAGAAAGTTTCCATTCTGAAGGAGACATCACTGGAAAGGTCCTCAAAGCTGTTATTAATTTAACAGTCTAGATTTAAAATCTTCCACAGAATTTTTTTTAAGGTGCCAATTTTGATGTCAGATTTTTTCATTGTTAATAATACCATTTAAATGATTTTGTTTTGCATCTTTAAATTTAATGCTAGTAATGAGATAAAGTGATTGTCACTGTCCTATCCTAGAAAACAAAGTAAAAGCAAGAATTTCTTGAGGGGGGACCTTACCCTTGTTTCCAACCCCAGTTATCTGTTGACTGTCAGTAGGATGTTCTTTTTAGCCTCATCTGCCCTGGAGAACTAAAGCCCACTTTCCTGACAGCCATTGAGTCAGCTTGCATGCCAAGGCCTCAACTTGATGCTTGTCAATCTTATTTCTAGGCCCTGACTCTGGATCCAACCATACACATGAAGCCAAAGGAGCAGGTTGCGGGGATTCGGTCCCATGGCTTTTTGAATACTGTTGATGACAGAATATCCTTTTCACCAGACTTTGTTCTGGAGCCAAGCCTGTCTAGTCACTCTGACATTGACTCGTTTTCACAAGCAAGTCATAATGCTTCTCAGGTATCTGGGTTCCCCAAATACCCTTCGACTATGAATGCATCACCTGTGGACACTTGGAAAAACCATGCATTCCAAAGGGACAGTAGGACAAGTTCCACGATCCCTTCACTCTACACCATCACTAGCAACGATACCTCAGTCAAAACTGTAGACGAAGAAAACACTCTCACAGTGGCTTCTGTCTCAGTCAGTCAGTCCCAGCTTCCAGGTACAGCCAACAGTGTCCCAGAATGCATTTCATTGACTTCCTTGGAAGATCCTGTGATGTTGTCTAAGTATGTATTTCAGCGACTGGCTTATACTGCTAATAGACTTGTGATGTCTGATTGAATGATGAAAGTGATTTTCTATTGGGCCATAGTGAAATATCAAATGACGTATAACTAGTGTGTGTTTTTCAATGTTGACAACTGTGTTGAAGTGAAAGATAAGATGTTGACAAAGGCCGGGTATGGTGGCACATGCCTGTAATCCTGGTACTTTTGAGGTAGAGGCATGTGGATCCCTGTGAGTTCAAGGCCAGCCTGGTCTGCATATTGAGTTCCAGGCCAATCAGGGCTACACATTGCGACCCTGTCTCAAAATATAAAGCAGAGGTGCTGACAGAAGCACCCTGTAAATGGTAGCTAATCAGAATGCTTCTATGTCTAGAGCTAATGGGGCTTCTGTTGTGTTTTCCGGGAACAGTTTGTACTCTGGCTATGAGAATGACTGGAGTGTGTGGTAACTATTTTCTCATCACTGTGACCAAATACCTGGCAAAAGCATCTTAAGGAAGGAAGGGTTTATTTGGCTCACAGTTTGAGGAGACACAGTTCATCACCATGAGAAGTAGGGATGGCGGGGTGGCAGGCATGTGGTAGCTGGTCATACCATGTCTGCAATCAGGAGGTACAGAGAGATGACACTGATGCTCAGTTCACTTTATCTTCTTTGTTCTTTTTATTTAGTCTGGGTCCCCAGTCTATGGACTGGTGCCCTTCTTACTTTCAGGAAGGTCAGTTAATCCTCTCTGGAAACACTGTAACAGACACACCTGTGTCTCCTAGGTGATTGCTGTCAAGATGACAGTGAAGATTAGCTGCCACAGGTCCACCCCTTTCAGTTAGCTCTGAGTCATGTGACTTGAATGTCTTGCTGGGTAGAGGATACACTGTCCTAAGAACGTCTTTCCCTCTTATCGGCAGAATCAGGCAGAGCCTCAAGGAGAAGCAAGCACGGCATATAGCAGATCTTCGAGCTTATTATGAATCAGAGATCAGTAGTTTGAAACAGAAACTGGAGGCAAAGGACAACTCTGCCATTGAAGAGTGGAAGAAGAAAAATGAAATTCTTGCAGACAGGTGAGAATACCATGGAACTAGTGCTTCTCCGACTTGGGTAGATTGCATCCACAAAGTATATCATCCTGTGGTATAAAATGCCATAAAAAATGTGTGCTTTGCATCTGAAAACTTACCATAAGACATGTAAACTAGGACATGTCTAGAGACACGAGGGATTAGTTTTAGAGATTTGAACTAACCTCCTTTATTCTCTCTAACTGATGCAAGATGCAAGCCATGCCTTTTTGTTATTTTGGCTTTTTTTTTTTTTTTTTTTTTTTTTTTTTTTTTTTTCAGAGCTTAGGACCAAACCCAGGGCATTCACTGAGCTAAATCCCCAACCCAACCCCAAGCCATGCCTTTTATGTAGATAAAATTCTGAAGGAAGTGGAGTTAGCAAATAAAGAGTAATATCATTTGTACGATATTATTATATTATTATAATGTTATTATACTGTCGAGCTCTGGGAAAAGGAAGAATTCTGGGGTATGGGCTGGTGAGGCAGCTAAACAGGGAACACACTTCTCACCAAGCTGGGTGAGCCAAGCTTGATCCTTGGGACTCACATGGTGGAGGGGGAAAACTGACTCAAAAGTTGTCTTCTGATCTCTACACACACTGTATGCACTCACATACACACATAGACATGCACACACAAAATAACAATTCTAGCTGGGCAGTGGTTTGGTGCATGCCTTTAATCCTATACAGACCTCAGGAGGCATAGGGAGGAGGATCTCTGTGAGTTTGAGGCCAGCCTGGTCTGTAGAGTGCTAGGGCTACACAGAGAAACCCTGTGGGGGGGGGGCGGGGGAATGAAGAATTCTGGGACTTTGGGGGCTGGGAGTGTAGCTTATTGGTAGAATATTGGGCTTAGTGCCATGAGACCTTGTGTTTTAACCCTAGTTTTATAACAAAAGAAAAAAAAAAGAGATAATGCAGACCTTTGTGTATGTGGCAGTTCTAAATTTATTTTTTTATATTCTTGTCATGAATAACTTTACTACTGTTCTCTTAAGTCTACAGAGGCAACTTTGCCTCTCAAAAAGGGAGATGGACTTGAACTTGCCTCAGGACTGCTCTGCTCACTCTTCTATGTGGTCATACTCACTGCTTTACTCCTTAGAACACTGTTTAGTATTAATGACCAAGTGCTTCCAACTTCTTAGAACTGAGTGGGATGTAAACAGGTGGAGGTTTAGGTGAGCAATGAATGCCTAAGGCAAAAGAAAAAAGGTACTCCTTGAAAAGAGGATATAGGGGACCACAAACCTTGTCTAGTGAGTAGCTTGGCTTTCAGAAGTTAAGAAAAAGTAGGCTTTATACTAAATAGCTACTAGCTGCTGTGTTTGTTAACATGGCTGTTTGAGGGGCTAGAGAGTGGGCTCAGTGGTTGAGGGTACCTGCTGAGCTGTCATATTTGTTTTCTGAGGTGTGAGTTGTAGTGTTTTGAAATGCACAGGGACTCTGGAGATGGGCTTCTTGGCTTAAAATCCCACTGAAGGACTGGGAATGTAGTTCAGTAACTGTGTATGCTTTGTACGAAGGAGCTCTATCATCAGCACCCGAAGCAAAACAAGATTTACCTCCTGTGGTACTTAACTCTGGTTTTGTTTAATTCACAGAGCTGTGAAGCTGATTAGTGGGTCACAAAGTAAAACAAAAGGCAGGAATGTAGGAGGGGTAGCTGTGGGAGGGATGGCAGAGTGGAGAGGCAGGAGACAAGGGGCGGGTAAACAGATTGTACCATATACATGTATGGTATAGTCAAAGAACAAATTTAACCATTAGGACACACAAAAGAGAGTGGGCTAAGTGGTTAAGAGTGCATGCATACTGCTCGGCCAGGCGTTGGTGGCGCATGCCTTTAATCCCAACACTTAGGAGGCAGAGGCAGGAGGATCTCTGTGAGTTCGAGGCCAGCCTGGTCTCCAGAGCAAGTGCCAGGATAGGCTCCAAAGCTACACAGAGAAACCCTGTCTTGAAAAACTAAATCAAAACAAAACAAAAAGAATGCATACTGCTCTTCCAGAGGACCTGAGTTCAATTCCCAGCACTGAGGTCAGGTGGCTCCTAGTTGTCTTTAACTCCAGTTCCAGGGAATAATGATCAGCAGAGATATCATTCAGACACAGTGTAGTCAGTTGAAAGTCTTTATTCCAGCTGGCTGGGACTACATCCAAGTGTTCATGGATCTAGGTGTGGCCCCGAGTGTTCAGAACATGGTTTTAAGGGCAGAGACCTCATCTTGACATCTCTCTTGGCAGCCGCAGAGTAAGCAGTTTTCACAGAAGCTAAGATAAGCAGTTAGCTGGAGGAGGTTTTATACAAACAAGCAGTTTTAACAAAGGCTAAGATAAGTTAGCTAGGACATCTTGAGCTTTGATTCCTAGAACTGAATTGGGTAGTTTTCCATGGGATTCTGGCTAAACCTGGAAATGGCCTCAGGAAGAATAAATATAAGATGGAGGAACCTCTGCACTGCCTTGTCCCATCACAATCTGGTGCCCTCTTCTGGACTCTGGACACACATGTGCCCCATACCCCAAAACAGCATTTTAAAAGAAAGATTGTGAGGCTGAATGTAAAATGCTTAACATAGACCTGGCATGTAATCAGTGTTAACCTGTTCTTCATAATTTACTACTTACCATTAAAAACTGAGTCAGATGGTGACTGAATGTTTGAACCTTGTTGAGGTCTGCGATAACTTGCAAAGGAATTCTTCATAAAAATCCTAATTTAGGGGCTGGAGAGATGGCTCAGCAGTTAAGAGCATATATTTCTCTTCCAGAAGGATCCAAGTTCACTTCTCAGTACCCATGTCAGGCAGCACATAGTTGCCTGTAACTTTAGCTCCCAGGAATCCACTGCCACTGATGGTATTCACACACACACACACACACACACACACACACACACACACACCATATATACATAAATACACATGATTAAAAATAAAATAAACCATGGGGCTAGAGATGGCTTAGCAGTTCAGAGCACTGGCTGTTCTTTCAGGAAACTCTCATAGCAGCTACTCACTGTCTGTAATTCTAGTCTCAGGAGATCCAGTGCAATGCGGTACCTATATGGAAAACATGATATTCATGCAGGCAAAACACCCACACACAAAAATAAAATCTCAGCTGGGTAGTGGTAGTGCACTTCTTTAATCCTAGCACTCGTGAAGTAGAGTCAGGCAGATCTCTGTAAATTCACGGCCAACCTGGTTTACAGTGAGTTCCAGGACAGCCAAGGCTGTTACACAGAGAAACCCTGTCTTGAAAAACCAAAAAATAAAATAAATAAAAACAAACAAATAATAAAATCTCAAAAGAGAATAGTTAAAAAATAAATGCTGGGCCTGGGTACACCTCTAAACCCAGATTGGAAAGGCAGAGGCAGGTGGATCTCTGAGTTTGAGGTCAGCCTGGTCTACACAGTGAGAAAGTGAGTTCCAGAACAGCCAGGGATGTTACACAAAGAAACCCTTTCTCAAAAACAAACAAACAAAATCATACTTCAGGGCTGGGGAGATGGTTCAGTTGGCAAAGCACTTGAATTGTAACTGTGAGGACATGGGATTGATCCCATGGCCCATGTACAAAAGAGCCTGGCATGGCTGTGCAATTGTAATTCCAGTGCCATGGAGGAGAAGACAAAAGCATTCCAGGGCTCACTGGCTAGCCCATCTAGCCTAATTGGTGAGCTCCAGGCCAAAGAGAGACTTTTTCTGAGAGGAGGTAGGTGTCGTTCTTGCAGATGACAACTGATCGCTCCAGCTTCTACACACATGTATACATTTAATAAAAAGAACAGTGCATTAATGTTGAGTTTAAAACAGCTCAGAATGGTGCTGGGCCCTGACTCCAAATAGCCTAGCTCTTTATATCCTGGACATGCATGTGTTCAGACAGATTTTTCCACACTAACATCAAGCTATTTTGTACAGTTTTCTCTATTTTAAAAATATAAAATTTAAATATCAAATTATGTATAACAAATTCACTGTTTTAAGTGTGCAGTTCAGTGGCTGAGCTATATTAACATTATTGTGTAGCCATCAAGTACCATCCATCTTCAGAAACATTTTCCACTTGCAAAGCAAACTCTGGTAAAGGTGCCTGTTGCCATGCCTGGCCACCTGAATTTGTCTCCTGGAATCTTCATGGAGGAAGGAGAGACGAGATTTCTGCTAGTTGCCTTTACACACACACACACACACACACATACTCTCTCTCTCTCTCTCTCTCTTTCTCTCTCTCTCTCTCTTTCTCTCTCTCACTAAATAAATAAGTAGGGGAAAAACCAACCCTGAAATTGAGGTCTGGGGACATAGCTTGGTTGGTAGAGAGCTTGCCTGGCATGTGTGAAGTGCTGCGTTCAATCCCCAGCAGGCACTCTCCCACTCAATGTCAATAGATAAATGCTGGAAAAAGAATGAAAAATAAAAAGCAATTAAGAACTGAAGCCCTGTTCTCTGTAGACCATTATCCCCATTCCACCCCTTTCCCCTGACACTGGTTACCGCTATCCTGTTTGTCCCTGAATTTGAACACCTCTGCATGTGGAATCACAGTATTTCTTTGTTCTTGTTATTTTGGTGCTGGGAATGGAACCCAGGCTTTTGCAGAGGCTGAGGATATGCTTTGTTACTGACATGCAGTGGCAGGCTTATTTCACTCAGCACATCCTCAAGACTGGTCCATGGTATTAGAATTCCCTCTTCTCTGCCAGTGGTTGTGACGCACGCCTTTAATCCCAGCACCTGGGAGGCAGAGGCAGGTGGATCTCTGTGAGTAGACCAAGGCCAGCCTGGACAGTTCCAGGACAGGCTCCAAAGCTACACAGAGAAACCCCATCTCGAAAAACCAAACCAACCAAACAAACAAAAATCCCTCTTCTTTAGGGCCTTGTAATCTTCATTTTACACAAATGCCACATTTGGGTTTCTGCTGAGGGAAACATGTCTGCCCACCTTTTCATATTGCTGTTGGGAATGCATCATATCTGTTCAAATCTTAATGTTTCAACTTTTTTCTTTGGTGCTGATAATTGAACTCAAGTCTCATGCTGTGTTATAAACTAAATTCCTTCCTCTTGGTATTTCTTAGGGATCTTTTTGATCATTGTTTTGCTAGGTTATCTTTAGATACTAGATTATCTGGGATACACTTATACAAAAGCAGTATCCTGGGCCTTAGCTAACATCTGGGAATTTGCTTATACTCCATGTGGGCAAACCTGGTAGATTTGTTGAATGCTCTCAAGAGAAATCATTTTGTTTTCTAACTGATTCTAAATTTGCTTTTCTTAGATGTAGCCAGTTGGATAGTGCATTGAATGAAGCTACTAGTCGTGTGCGAACACTTGAAAATAAGAATAATTTACTAGAAATAGAAGCGGTAAGTGCTTGATTTTTGGAGCTGGTTCAGTTCTAATGCCGTAATGTCTAAAAGGTATACATCACTGCAATTCTTTTTTTTTTTTTAAAGATTTATTTATTTATTATGCATACAGTGTTCTGCTGGCAAGCCAGAAGAGGGAATCAGATCTCATTATAGATGGTTGTGAGCCACCATGTGGTTGCTGGGACTTGAACTCAGGACCTCTGTAAGAGCTGCCAATTCTCTTAACCTCTGAGCCACCTCTCCAGCCTGCAATTCTTAATTCTATTTACTGGGTGTATACACAGGAGTGAAGAAACATTTTTTAAAAAAGCTTTTGCCGGGCAGTGGTGATGCACACCTTTAATCCCAGCACTCGGGTAGCAGAGGCAGGCGGATCTCTGAGAGTTTGAGACCAGCCTGGTCTATAAGAGCTAGTTCCAGGACAGCCTCCAAAGCCACAGAGAAACCCTGTCTCAAAAAACAACAAAACAAGACAAAACAAAACAAAACAAAAAACAAAACAGAGAGAGAGAGAGAGAGAGAGAGAGAGAGAGAGAGACATGCACTACTACGCCTGCTTAAACTTTTATATTATTTCTTTTCTCCTCCTGTATTATGCTTTATTTTATTTTATTGTTTTTTTAAGACAGGGTTTCTCTGTGTGTAATCCTGGCTGTCCTGGAACTTGCTCTGTAGACCAGGCTGGCCTGGAACTCACAGAGATCCACCTGCCTCCCAATTGCTGGGATTAAAGGTGTGCTCCACCACCACATGTCAATGTTTTATTCTTTATATATTACCTTATAAGCAAAATTTTGGTGGAAAATGCTTGTTTTGTTCTATACATTGTGTCTGCTTTAATGCCCAGCCCTTTTCTGGATGGAATTCTGATCCTCACCAAGGCTGGCCAGTTTCTAACTGTGTCACCCCAGTCCTGTGTTGGCTTCATCTAAATGATGAACTCCACCACAAAGTTAGGGGTTATCATCTTGTTAATCTTCCTTTCTGATGCTTTGTATAGGGATGGGGTCTTGCTATGTTCTAGCTGAGGGTGGTCTTGGATTTGTGAGTATAAGCAGCCTTTGTAGTTCAGCCTTCCAAATCAGTTAGAATGCCGGCGAGAGGCATTTCGTCCAGCTTTAATCTTACATCTTAGCATCCTGTGGCCTGGCACCTATATGGTATTCCAGAAATCACCATTGAATGAATGTTAACACTGAGATAAATTTTTAATTTTGTGTTTTCATAGAGTATGATGAAGAAGCCCAGCGCCCAACATATTAATGTGAGACAGTGTATTCCAGTCACCATTTCCGAACTCCTCTGATGTTTGTGGCTATTTTTCTTCATTAGGTTGATCTACAGACAGTACTGTTTATTCGAGTCCTGGAATAATTGTCCCCCTATATACTTGTGTTCTGTCTCTACCTTTGACTAATCTCATGGAGTAGTTCCATTAGAGTGGTCCTCTCTAGACTCTGTCCTGGGACACAACAAAATGTCAAAGTAGCCTATTTCCACTTGTATCTTTTTAAATTTATTTTAATGTCCATAACTTATTAGCTAATACTGAGGTACTGTTTTCCCTTGGGATGATTTGTCTCTGTTTTTACTACATAGAACGATTTGAGAGAACGATTCAATGCAGCCAGCAGTGCCTCCAAAATTCTGCAGGAACGAATTGAGGAAATGAGAACTAGCAATAAAGAAAAAGATAACACCATCACTCGGCTAAAGTGTCGGCTGCAGGATCTGGAAGAAGCATTTGAGAATGCTTACAAACTCTCCGATGATAAAGAAGCAAGACTGAAGCAAGAAAACAAAATGTTTCAGGATGTGAGTACCCAGCTCAGTAGCTTAGCACTGTGGCTGCCATTTGAGTTCCTCTGACAAAAGCAGCTTGAGGGAGAAAGGGTTGGTTTTGGCTTACAGCTCCACAGGGATAGTCTGTCATGGTGGGAAAGCCATGGCTGTAGGCAGCAAAGTGTGGTGACAGGAGTAGGACGCTGCATGGTCACACTGCTTCCACAGGCAAGAAGCAGAGAGGGAGGGAACAGGGAGTTCTTCTAGGCCATAAAAGTTCAAGGCCCAGTCCATGTGACTCAGTTTCTCTATAAGTCTCCACAACCATCCTAAACAATGCCAACAACTTGGGGACCAAGTCTTCAAACAGAAGCCTATGGGGACCATTTCACAGACCAACTACAGCTGGCCATAAATAACATCTGTAGCTAATATACTCTGTGAAGCTACATGACTTTCTGTGTATTTTTTTTTTTTTTTGTTTTTTGTTTTTTTGTTTTTTGTTTTTCGAGACAGGGTTTCTCTGTGTAGCTTTGGAGCCTATCCTGGCAGTCGCTCTGGAGACCAGGCTGGTCTCGAACTCACAGAGATCTGTCTGCCTCCGCCTCCCGAGTGCTGGGATTAAAGGCGTGTGCCACCAATGCCCGGCTCCTCGATGACTTCCTAGGTGCATTTTGGTCTAAGGTAACTGCTCCTAGCTCCGCATACCCTCTTGGTGGAAATGGTCACTGTCATCTTGCAGCAGGAAGTCAGAGCTGTAGAAAGATGGCTGAACTCGCTTACTTCTCTGTTTCTAGTGTGTCAACTTTTGTGTTGTCATAACATCTGTGTCTCTGGCAGGGTAAAATGATGTAAGCCAGATTCAGGGCAGGGCCTTTTAGAGAGGAGGGGTCTTGCCATATAGCCCAGGCTAGTCTTGAATTTTTTTTTTTTTTAAGATTTTATTTATTTATTTATGTATACAACATTCTGCTGCCATGTATATCTGCACACCAGAAGAGGGCACCAGATCTCATAACGGATGGTTGTGAGCCACCATGTGGTTGCTGGGAATTGAACTCAGGACCTCTGGAAGAGCAGTCAGTACTCTTAACCTCTGAGCCATCTCTCTAGCCTGGTCTTGAACTCTTGATTCCCTTGCCTCGGTCTCTTGAGTGCATAGGAATAGGTGTTCATTCCTATGTCTGACTGTTTGCTATTGTCGTTTTTGTGTGTTGCCAGCCCCCTCCCCAAATCCCATTCTGCAGATAGAATCTAGGACTCTAATGGTATCATTGCGTGTGTGTGTGTGTGTGTGTGTGTGTGTGTGTGTGTGTGTGCTGTCTGTGATGTGTCAATGTGTCATCATCATCCATTCTCCAGTCCCTGCCCTGGGTGCAATGGAAAGAGTCCAGAACACTGTTCAAGCGGTGCTGCCAATAGAGCTGCCAGTAGATGTCTATGGTTTTAGATAGAAAGACAGGTTTTTGTTTTTGTTTTTTGAGACAAGGTTTCTCTGTGTAGTCCTGACTGTTCTAGAACTGGCTCTGTAGACCAGGTTGGTCACAAACTCAGAGATCTGCCTATGTTTGCCTCCTGAGTGCTAGGATTAAAGATGTATAGCACGATTGCCCGGTTCTGTTAGATTCGCCTTTTGTTTGTTTGTTTGTTTATTTATTTGTTGGTTGGTTTTTTGAGACAGGGTTTCTCTGTATTGATTTAGAGCCTGTCCTGGAACTCACTCTGTAGACCAGGATGGCCTTGAACTCACAGAGACCCCCCTGCCTCTGCCTCCCGAGTGTTAGGATTAAAGGTGTGTGCCTCCACCGCCTGGCTGCAGTTTGATTATTTAAACTTTATTATGTGTCTGTATGTGCATGTTGGCACATGTGTGTGGAGGTCAGAGGACAACTGTCAAGAGTTGGTTCTTCCACTGTGGCTTCCAAGGATTGAACTCAGACTTACACATCAAAAGCTTCTGTCCCCTGAGCTGTATGGTCAGCTCAAGTTTGAATTTTATTTAAGATTTATTTTTATTTTGTGTGTATAAGTGTTTTGCCTGCATGTATGTGCACTGTGTGCATGCTTAATATATAAAGAAGCCAGAAGAGGGCATCAGATTCCTTGCAACTGCAGTTAGATTGTTGTAAGCTGCTGGATGGGTGTAGAGACATGAACCTAGGCCTTCCGGAAGAGCAACCATTGTTCTTAGCCACTGAGCTAGGTCTCTAGACCATAGGTTTGAATTTTTTTTTATGTTGATTTAATGTCCCTTAAAATTGGATTAATAAAACATTTGATACTGGACTGGGTTCCAGGTTGTATATTTTTCATATGGTTTTTTTTTACATTTTATGTATTTGTATATGTGTGTGTACATGCATGCACATATACCATGGCATACGTGTAGAGGAAAACTTGTGGGTTCTGGGAATCAAAGTCAGGTGGTTGCTTTTAGGCAGGGGCCTTCACCTGCCATCTTGCTGCCTAAAATTGTTGTTGGTGTTGTTATTATTGTCATTATTAATACCTGGATTCTTTTTGTTTGTTTGTTTGTTTTTGAGACAGGATTTCTCTGTGTAACAACCCTAGCTGTTCTGGAACTAGTTCTGTAGACTAGGCTGGCTTCGAACTCACAGAGATCCGCCTGCCTCTGTCTCCTGAGTGCTAGGATTAAAGGCGTGGGCCACCAATGCCCAGAATGTTTTTGTTATTTTAAGAACCATTTTCATACTCTCTGCCATAGCAGTGTGTTCTGTCCTCATCCTGGTCCTTTCTGGGGCTCTCACTGTGTAGGTCTGGCTGGCCTCAAAGTTGCCATCCTTCTGCTGTGGCCCCGAATACTGGGATTACAGGGTGTACCACCGTACATATTTCTAAATAATACTAGGTTTTTTTTGTCATTGTATTTTTATGCAATAGGAAAACTGTAGGAAAATATAATATAAATTTTATGTAACAAAAAATTTAAAAAGGCAGTACAAATACATTTTACTATTATGTTGAAGGTTTGTATTTCTGTTGTTCTGTTTTGCTTTTAAAATGGTTTCATACATAAAAAGCCTTCAAACATTTTATCAGGGACTGTCCCATTCCTTTTTCCAGAACTGCTGGTTCAGTGTTGGCCTTTCTTTCCTGACATTGGCAGCTTGAAGTTGTTTTGTTACCTGTTTAGTTCTGTGTTATAACTCTGTTTTCTTTGCAGCTCCTAGGAGAGTACGAATCCCTTGGGAAAGAGCATGGTCGTGTAAAGGTAAAGGGTGGGGCTCTGTCCTGGGATTTCTGTAAGGGCAAACGGCTGCCGCTTTCCCTATCCCTCCATCTAGAGCTGTTTGAACCAGTCTATGCCTTTACCCTTCTTCCTGTGTTTATATCTTTATTTCCAAATGTCTGCTCTACTTGACTGACACCTTTGTGAGATCTGCTAATTTACCAAATGCTATTGGATGGCTCTTGCATTGGATGTGGGTTGAAATGAAACTAGGCAGGAGAATTTATGTTACACACAGGTCCAGACAACCACCTGGTCCCTGGACATGTAAAGTTAACATTTTCAAAGTATTACTTTATGAAGTAGTAAGAGTTTATCCATCGTGTCTGAAATCGTAACTGAAGCACCATTTTCAGTTACATTTCTGAACTCAGTGAAGCCCCACAGTAAGTAAGCTGTCAGTAGTTCCAGCTGTTCTAATGCATACAGTAGGGATTATAGATTTATAAGGTTAGTGGAAAGGCCTGTGAACTACAGCTAAGACTGGGTTCAGAAATAAACCACAGTATCTGAAGCATCACTGAAGGTTTTCGCTCTGCCATTCTGCTAAGCCTTCAGTCACGTTTGTAGCTAAAATGGATCCATCCTAATGTGGCGTTGCTTCTAGTTTAGCAGGCAACGGGATGCATTTGTTAGAGCCCCGGGTATAGGCCGGTGTTTATGCTGTTGCTCTTCCCTTGAGTTGCCTGGATTGGTTCCACGCTGATGCCATCCTTCCTGAGTTCCATGGTAATTAACAACAGGCTGTTTAGCCTTACATTAGCTTTATATCACACATTTTTTTTTTTTTTTTTTTCTGAGACAGGGTTTCTCTGTGTAGCTTTGGAGTCTGTCCTGGCACTCGGTCTGGAGACCAGGCTGACCTCGAATTCACAGAGATCCGCCTGCCTCTGCCTCCCAAGTGCTAGGATTAAAGGCATGCACCACCAATGCCTGGCTATATCACACATTTTAAAGTAAAGGTTTCTGTCTACAAGCTTATCTTCAGTTATGTAAATTCTTTCTCTCTTTAGGATACATTAAACACAACTGAGAACAAATTGCTCGATGCACACACTCAGATTTCTGATTTGAAAAGGTAAGTGTCCACTAATAAAACATGCTGCTAATTGTCCTTTGTGTTTGTCTTGACAGGAAAATATACTCTCTCCTGAGGTCATTTAAAATAGAGAAGTAGTGTTATTCTAATCCTTGGTCATGGAAATAAATTACATCTTAGCCTAGGAGATTATTAAGTGATTAGAATATATTGGTGGTTGAGCCTCAGGTGCATGCATTTTCCAGACATTATGCATTTTCTTGGAATAATGAGAAATCTGAATGATAACTACTAGAAGGAATTGGAAGGAGCAGTCTAGTTCACTGAGTTATTATTGTGCTCCAGAAGAAAATGAAATTCTCAAGATGTGTGCAGGAATCTACTTCCTTAAAGACCTGGTTTGGATCAGGTGTAGTAGCACACATCTCTAATCACAGCACTCAGGAGGCAGAGGCAATGGATCTCTTGGAAGTTCAAGGCCAGTGTGGTCTACATAGTGAGTTTCAGGACAACGAGGGCTACACAGAGAAACCCTGTCTCAAAACAAAAACAAACAAAGACCCGGCTTGGAGACTGTTAATGATCTTATCTGACTTGCTTAACCTAGTTAGCAGCAATTATAAATGATCTATATTGCAAATGATTAGAGATATCTAAGTTAGGGCTGGAGAGATGGCTCAGTGGTTAAGAGTGCACACCACTCTTCCAGAGCACCTGAGTTTGGTTCTCAGCATCCATGTCAGGTGGATTACAGCCTCCTGTAACTCCAGCTCCAGGGAATCCAGCTTCCTCTAGTAGCCTTTGTGCTTGCACCTGTGAGCACATGCTTGCACATAGACATTTACATCTACACATTATTAAGACTAAATCTTTTAAAAAAAAGGAATATCTAAATTAGTTTCTTTAATAGTTGTAACTATTAAACAATACCCCAAGTTTAGAAATTCACTGCAATCTGAAGGATTTACACAGAGAAGAACAGGAACTTGTCTAGATTTGCCATCTGCCTGATCTATTTGGGATTATCTGTCATGTTAGAGCTATTCCTTCTCAAGCTTGGTAGCAAGTCCCTTTTCCCTCTGAGCCATCTCGCTGGCCCCATACACAGAGTTTAAAGAAAGGACAGAAGGGCAGATGAGTACTTTTGTACAAGCCTGGTGACTTGGGTTTGATCCCCAGATCCCACAAGTCGGCAGGAGAGAACTGACTCCTGAGAGTTGGCGTCTGACTTCCACATATCCACAGTGCCTGGTTTATACTTTCATACTTGAGCATGAGCATGTATGAGTGCGCGCACGTGTACACACACACACACACACACACACACACACACACACAAAAACTGAAATAAATGAAGCAAATTAATGTATTAAAAGAAGGAGCCAGGCGTTGGTGGTGCATGCCTTTAATCCCAGCACTTGGGAGGCAGAGGCAGGTGGATCTCTGTGAGTTTCAGACCAGCCTGGTCTACAAAGTGAGTTCTAGGACAGCCTCCAAAGCCACAGAGAAACCCTGTCTTGAAAAAAATAACAACAAAAAAAGGATGCTGTTTTTGTTTTTTTTTATTGAATTTCTGTCCTGCATCCCTTTTTTTCTTTAGTAGTCCATGAAATGCTGCTTTGCAGAGCCCAATGTACTCGCTGTCCTGCTTATTTTCCCTGTTTTTGTTTTTTTTCCCTTTTTCTTTTAGCTTTTCAAGGTTTAATGGTGCCATTTTACTATGAAGGAAGTTTCTGGGCAGCAGGCTGTCATTGCCTTCCTAAAGAGGGAAGATTAAGTATCATCTGATAGTTTTTCTGTGTTTTCAATCTGTGGCATTGTGTTTAATTTGTCTCACTGCTTTTGACCCAGGATGATCTCCAAACTCGAAGCTCAGGTGAAACAAGTAGAGCACGAGAATATGCTGAGTGTTCGTCACAGCGCTAAAGCTCCCATGAGGCCATCCCGGGCCAAGTAAGTGACTTTCACGTAGTGTCCTTGCAACAAGAAATAGTGCCCTCTGTTAATTAGGAAGCCAGGGCTAAATATCCTGTGGGCTTAGATGTGCATTAAAGTCACAATCTCTTGGTGTCATTCACATCCCTACAAAGAAGCATTTTTGAGGCTAAGAAAAGCATAGAGTCAGGTGGGTGTTGTGTTCTTCACTGTTCTCCTCGTGACCATAAGCATTTCCCTTACTTTTTTATTTTTATTTTTATTTATTATGTATACAACATTCTGCTTCCATGTATATCTGCACACCAGAAGAGGGCACCAGATCTCATAACGGATGGTTGTGAGCCACCATGTGGTTGCTGGGAATTGAACTCAGGACCTCTGGAAGAGCAGTCAATGCTCTTAACCTCTGAGCCATCTCTCCAGCCCCTTCTCTTACTTTTTTTTTTGAGATGGGGTTTCTCTGTGTAGCTTTGGAGCCTATCCTGGCACTCGCTCTGGAGACCAAGCTGGCCTTGAACTCACAGAGATCCTCCTGCCTCTGCCTCCGGAGTTCTGGGATTAAAGGTGTATGCCACCAACGCCCAGCCCTTCTCTTACTTTTTAAAAGGCCTTTTTTTTTTCATGTAGGCAACTTGTAAAAAAAAGATTTATTTTTATTGTTTTTAATTATATGTCTGTACGGGTTTGTGCACTTGAGTTCAGAAGCAGGTGACAGATTCCTGGAGCTGGAGTTCCTGGAAGCTGTGAGCCACCTGACATGGGTCCTAGGATCTAAACTCGGATCCTCTGCAAGAGCAATGAGCACTCTTAACCTCTGAACCATTTCTCCAGCCCTAAGCAATTTTTAATGATAATTTTATATATATTACTTTGTTTATATGTCTTTTCAAGTGTTTCTTCCTCATATTTGCCATTATTTTTCTGCTTGGTGAGATTTGGCTTTTTATTCCAGAATCTTTTTTGTTCTTTGTTCCTTTGCTGAGGTAAACGCCCATATGGACAGTTGTGCCATTAACTTTTCTTCATTGTCCCTGTTCAGTGTGGATGACAGCCAGGCAGGGTGGAACATGCCTTTAATCTCAGCATGTAGAGGCAGAAGCAGATTGATCTCTGAGTTTGAGGCTATCCTGGTCAACAAAGCAATTTTCATGCCTGCAGGGCTACATAGAGATACCCTGTCTCAAAAAGAAAACAACAAACACCAGTGCAAACAGCATATTTCTTTCTGTAAACTCCATTGATTTGCTGGTCTGCTGAACTTTGTAGTGTCCTCCCACAACTTGAACCCCATCATCCTTTCTGATAGGTGTAGATGACATCCTCTGTGTCCTGATCTTTGAAAAGAAGAGAAATAGTCTGGAGTGGTAGCAAACACCTTTAATACTAGCACTTGGGAGGCAGACATAGGTAGATCTCTGTGAGTTCAAGGCTAGCCTGGTCTACATAGTGAGACCCTGTCTCAGAAAAAAAAAAAAAAGCAAAGAAAAGGAAACAAAACATCTAGTGTGGGAAGCAGCCTTGATTTGTTTATGGTTCCTGCTTCAGTCAGAATTGCAAAGGGGTGGAACTTCATTTTGGCAGTTGCCTCTCCAGTGACAGCTGCAGAGGGAACACATTTTATTACCTGTAAGAACAAGGACACTGGACTGGAGAGTATTTTAAAGCCTTAGCACTAAACCCCACACGTTTTTCTTCTGTTAATGGAAAGAAAGACCTTTGAGGGTGGATCTGTATTAAGCTGTGGTTTTCTGTTTTAGTTCTTTTAGAATTAGCTTTACTGTGATCTTTGGTTTAGTTTTCATGTTTGGAACAGTCCCACTATGTACCCCTGGTTGGCCCTACACTCACTTTGTAGCTCAGGCTGGCCTCATGCTTGCAGTGGTCCTTTTCTCTTCCCTCTGCCTCCACATGCTAAGATTACAGGAATCAGGAATGTGCTGCCCTGCACAGGGTTACCTGGATGACACATTTACAGAAGAATTTGGTTTTTAATTATGATTTTTGTGTTAAGTATATTAATAATTAGATTATTATTTCATAATGATATCTGTCAGAAAGAAATTGTGAATTCTATCCTAAGCTGTAATTGTCAAAACATTTTTTAGAACTTTGCTGAGTAATTATAATAGAATATAATGGACTCTTGTATTTAAAAGAAAAGTTAGGTACTGGAGAGATGACATAGTAATTAAGGGCACTCACAGCTCCAGAGAACCTGGGTTCTTCTCAGTATCTATGTTGGCAGCAAACAGTGGCTTGTAACTTCAGCTTTGGGGGATATGACACCTCCTTCTGAACTATGGGAAGTGCACTCATGTACACAAGCCCACACTCACAAACACGCAAGCACCTACAATTAAAAAATAAAATAAAATGTATTTTTACAATCTTTTTTATAAAGAAACGTGGTATGTCTCAGTAGGTAAAGATATTTGCCACAAAGTGTTATGACCTGAGCTTGAAACCACATAGTGGAAGGAAAGAACCAACTCCTAAAAGTTTCTTTCTGACCTTCACATATGAACCATGACATACATGTATACCTACCCCCCCACACAATAAAAAAAAATTTAATAAGTCTTAAAAATGAGCTAGATGTGGTGGTGAATACTATAACTTGTAGTTCCAGCTCTTGGGAATTGGATAAAGGAAGATGAGCAGCTCAGGGTCATCCTTACTTCCACTGTCTGGGCTATGTAAGACCTCAAACAAATAAAATCATAAACCAAACCAAACAAAAGGGACCAAAGGTAAAAACTGAATTTCTGAGATGAAGCAAAAGAAGAGGCATAAGGTTGGGGGATGGGGAGTCCTTCTGTGGGTTGGGATGCAAGGTGCCAGGATTGTAAGGGCACCGCTCATTCATATTGTTATAGGCAGGAAGCAGAGTGAGTGTATGACGTCCAAAGGCCTGATCCCAGTGACCTCTTCCCACCAGCTAGGCCCCATACCCTTAAGGTTCCATAATCTCCCAAACAGTACTAGTGTCTCAGGATCAGCTGTCAAAGCACATGAGCCTGTAGGGGATGTTGACATTTACACTGTGATACATGACCTGGATAGTCACGGCAGGAAGTTATGCAACCTGAGGTGAAATTGTGGATTGATTATACATGGCTTTCTAAGTCTTAGGTAGGCATTTGGATTTTGCCCTAAGTCCATTGAGAATGCTCTCAATTTTCGATTTTTTGGGGCAGGGTCTGTCTGTGTAGCCCTGGTTTTATAGACCAGCAGGCTGGCCTCAGTCTGATTTTCTTGCTTCTTTTTCTTGAGTGCTAGAATTAAAGGCATGTGCCATTGTGTCTGGCAAAGATTTTAAAGATCTGTATTATTCGTGTGTGTGTGTGTGTGTGTGTGTGTGTGTGTGTGTGTGCGCGCGCGTGCGTGCGAGCAATGTCCATTTGCCATTGTATACATGCAGGCTTGAGGATAACTTTCTGGAATCAGTTCTTTGCTTCTACCTTTAAATGGATTCCAGAGTTCAAACCCAGGCCATTAGTCTTTTAAGATTAAGTTATACACAGAGCAGTCTCCCTGGCCCTGAAAATTTCTGTATAAAAAATAATGCCATCTGACTTTTACTTTTTTAAAATTCTTGCCATGAGAAAGGGATGAAATGGGAAAGCATGGAAGCAATGAAATGAGTTAGGCCATTTCCGTGCAGGGAGAGCAGGTTTCTGGGTATCTGGTCTCTCCAAGACTGAGGCCAAGGAGGTAGCTCCATGTACAAAGGTGCTTGTCACCAGGTCTCATATCCTCATGGTGGAAGAAGAGAGCCAGCTTCTAAGACTTGTACTCTTACTTCTACATACACTGTGGCATGTCTGTGCACATACAAAATAAACAAACGTAATAAGAATAATTTTTTTTAAAAAATGCAAGAAAGAATTTGAAAGGTTATGGAGATGGAATCCACAGAACATTGTTGTGTCTTGGCTGGTGAGGCAAGGGAGCAAGAACACTAAAAGCCACCATGTGTTGAACTAAGGAAGAGATCAGGGCGCCTGGCATTGGAATTTTTGCTTGGGATTCATACGGACTGGGCAATTGTAAATTTAGGCGTGGAGATCAAAACTCCTAGGTTGGAGTTACATCATTGGAGCCAGTTATTTGCCAGTAGTTCGTACAGCTACAAGACTGATAGGAATTGCGTGTCAGTGAGAGTGTGTGCAGGACGGAGCTCTCAGGAAACCTGCTTCTGTGTTGGGTAGAGAAGTTTGGCAAAGGAGACTGTGCAACAGCTGCTAGAATTGAGGAGGGAAACTGAAGCAGACACCGGGCGGGCGAGGACTGAAAAGGCCTGTTGGGTTTGCAAGCTGGAGGCGGGTAGTGAGAGGTGTTTGAGGCGTATTGAAGACAGCCTACACATTGAGCTGCTGGAGATGCATATGTTGTGATATCCTTATTCATGGTGGCCATGTGTGAAAGGAAAGAAAGGCTTGGCAGGCTTAGCCTTTAGGCCAAAGCCATGCTACACCATCATTTTTTGTGATGTGTATGACTGAGGAATTTTAAATGTTTGAGCAGGGCTGGGCTTGGCTAGTGTGGCTCAGTTGGTAAAGCACTTGCTTTACAAGCTCAAGAACCTGAGTTCTGAGTCCTAGAGCCTGCATGAAAATGCTAGATGTCGGCTGGAGAGATGGCTCAGCAGTTAAGAGCACTGGCTGCCCTTCCAGAGGACCCGGGCTCACAACTATTTGTAATTCCAGTTCTCAGGGAGCCGACACACTTTTCTTGCCTCCAGGGGCACCTGGCATGCATGTGGCACACAGATATACATGCAGGCAAAACAGTCATATGTATAAAATAAAACAATAAAGTTAAAAATGCCAGATGTGAGAAGGTCTCTTTTAATCCTAGCACTGGGAAGCTGGTGATAGGAGGATCCCTGGCACTCACTGGCCATCAGTTTAGCCTTATTGGTGAATTCTAAGCCAATGAACGGCCCTGTTTGAAAGGAGGTAGATATACAGCCTTTTGGAGGATGACTTCTGAGGTTGTCCTTTGGTATCCAGTAATATCCATGTCAACATACACACATAAGAAATATTTGGGGCTGAATGTGGAGGTGCACAACTTTAATCCCAGCACTCAAGAGGCAAAGACAGGCTGATCTCTGAATTCAAGGCTAGCCTGATCTATATAAGTGAGTGCCAGACCAGCCAGGGCTAAAGGGCTGTATTTTGTTGATTTAAGGAAGAAAAAAAATCAAAGGAAATTGATTCAATTATGTATCTTCCTGCTTTTCATGACAATAATGAAATCGAGTCATTGGTGATGAATATTGTTTGCCCTGTAAAACCTAAAATACTATTTTTTTTATTCTTTTGCCCTTTGTAGAAAAAGGTATTATAAATGTCTCATCTGGACTGACAATTTGTATTAATTTTAAGAGTATAATATAGAGCAATAAAGAACTAGTTGAGGAAGAAATAGAATATTTTTTTTTTCTTTTCAAAGTGATGGTGACTGGGGCCGGCGAGATGGCTCAGTGGGTAAAGGCCCTTGCCGCCAAGCCTGAAATGAGTTCAAACCCCGGACCTGAGTGGTGGAAGGAGAAAAAAAAAAAACAACTCCTGCAAGTTGTGCTCTGAGCTTTACAATTGCTCCATGGCCTGTGCATTCCCCTACCAACACATACACACATAAAGCAAATTTCTGAAAAAGCAAATCCACAAGTATTTATTTGGGAAATGCAGTTTACTGGGGTCTTCGTTTGTCAATGATCCTTCCACATTGTAAGATAACCACATGTTCTTTTAAGTCTATATCAAGTCAAGCTGATGTGCTTTCCAGGTAGGCCATTACAGTTTCTTCTATTATTAGTAAAGTAACCTGAAAATATTGCAACAGAATCGTTAAAGTACTGGTGATGAGACCCAGGGTCTTGAAAATAATTGATAAACAGTTTTACTAATGAGCTACATCTTCCTGACCCCTGATAGGAAATGTCTGATACCAGCTATAGCATGTACAATAGTTCTGAGTATCTCTTGGGATCTTACAAATGTAATCAGTCTTAAAATTGTGTGCAGGAATGCTAAGCACGAGTTGAGAATAATGGCTTCAGGGAACTATAGGACTGACGAGGCTCAGCAGGGCTTTAATTGTATTTGTAGTGAAAAATCTAAGGGCTGTAGAACAGAGAGTGAAGACCATGCCCAGTATCAATCATTGAGCATTATCTGTGTATCCGTCTGTACATGCTTGAAACCTTTAAAAGAAATTTGTACACTTTGAATTGTGTGTGCGTGAATGTGCACTTGGCACTGCTTATGTGTGGAGATCAGAGGACCACTTTCAGAGGTCAGTTCTCTCCCTCCACCCTGTGGTTCTGGGGATCAGACTCGAGTCTCAGGGTTGGTGCAAAGCACTCTTACCCACTGAGTGATCTCACTGGCGTGTGTGTGTCTGTCTGTCTGTCTGTCTGTCTGTGATTTTTACTTTAATGAACAGGAAAAATAAAGGGTGAGTATTTAGAATACAAAGAATCTTTGACAACTCAGTAGGAAGGAGACAGTTTCTTCCATAGGAAATGGTAAAGGGATGTGAAGCTGCAAAGAAAACAGCCAATAGCAACGAAGAGATGCTCATTGTCCTGAGAAGTCAGGACAATGCCAATTAAAATAATAGTATGTACCATTCCCATCATCAGACAGGCTAGACTTAATTTGTTCCCAAGTTTGGCAAAGGTGAAGAAAAGAACTCAAAGACCAATGGCCGATTGCAGACCATAGGGCTCACCTAGCAGCTGATTTGCCAGAAGACTGAAGGTGTGCCCCACATTTCATGGTGGTTTTTAGAAATTTAGGTCAGTTCTTGTACATGTTAATCGTAGGATTGTTGAAACAGCACCTACCATCAGGAGGCAGGATTAGTGCAAAGCAATGAGTGACAGCCCTGCACATAAACATGAATAAATCATGAGCATACTGTTGTGGAGAAGACGTACTGAAGGGTGTGGATAGCATGCCCTTGTTTAATAAACACAGCTATACATATGTATACAATGTTATGTCTCACAATTAAAAACAAATATGGCCAAGATCTAAGCATCTGTTAAAACCAAGAGTAGGTAGGTGGGTGCTTGTTGTAGTATTCTGTGTAATTTTCTAAGAATGTTAGAAATGTTTCTTAACTTAAAAATTGAGGGAAAGGGGCTGGGGTTTTGCTGTGGCAGAGAGCCTGTTGAGTAGTGCATGGGGCTCTGGGGCAGGTCCTGGCTCATTGAAAGGTCTTTTTTGAAAGGACAAGAGTGACCTGGGTCGAAGTGAAAATGGAGGGAGGACTCCTAGCAGGTTATGTATGAAAGGAGTAGAGGAAGGCAGTGCATTCTCTTAAGAGTCTTGCTTTCTCTCTGAAGTCGGTTATCCCGACTGAAGGCCGCCATGCAGGACTGTTGTAGAAGTAGAGCTTGCTCATCAAGGGGAGGGCCTGTCCACTGAGGATGGGGTTGCTGGGTAGGGCACAGTTAGATGGCTTTTCCAGCAAAGCTCAGCCATGAGAGTGTGGACAGGAAGTAAGGTCGCTGTGGTCAGTCAAGTGGGGGATATCGCTGCTGGTCAGATGTGAGAGTTGGAGTCAGGGTTAAGGCAGCTGTGTGTGCCAGGGTGGACAGAGGAGCTGGTGAAGCTAGGATTGCTGGGTGAGTGGGGGCCATGGGCTTGCTGGCTGGTTGCTGGGACGGTGCTTGGCAGCAACGGGAACAGAAGGTGGGAGAGCTATAGGGGTGTCAGTTTCCTTAGAACTGTGATCTCTGATTATGACAGAATCTAGCTGTGTCCTTTGAGGTAGATGACAGAGTAGACTGAGTTATTAGGTCTAGAGGTCAAGGATAGCTCTTGAGGTTCCTAGTGTGGTGGTGACAGCAGGTCTGGAGTGAGATAGGTTCATGCTGGTTAATTTTGTCAGCTTGACACAAACTGGAGTCATCTGGAATCAGGAACCTCAACTGAAAAACTACCTCTATTAGATTGGCCTCTAAGCAAGTCTGCAGAGCATTTTCTGATTGACATTCATGTGGGAGAGCCCAGCCTACTGTGGGTGGTGTCCCCTCTGGGCAGGTGAACCTGGGGTATTTCAAAAAACTGGCTGAACCTGAGCCTGGAGAGCAAGCCAGGAAGGAAGCATCAATCATTTCCTGCCTCCAGATTACTCCTTGAGTTCTTACTCTAAGTAGACCAGACTGGCTTGGAGCTCAGAGACCCTTCTCTGCCTCCAGAGAATGCTGGAGTTTAAGGCATAGGCTCCCACACTCTGCACTGGTTCAAATTCTAGTTCCACTAGATGTAAACCTTGGCAAGCTGGATTTCTAATTATTGTCATTTACATTTATTCATTTGTTTGTTTGCTTGAGTAAGTAAGTAATGTGAACCTTGGGGAAGCTAGATTTTAAAAAATATTATCAGGCCAGGTGGTAGTGGTGCATGCCTTTAAATCCCAGCTCTCAGGATGCAGAGACAGGCGGACCTCTGAGTTCAAGGCCAGCCTGGTCTACAGAGTGAGTTCCAGGATAGCCAGCACTACACACAGAAACCCTGTCTCAAAAAAACGAACAAAACAAAGCTTTTAAGTTACTGCCAGGTGCCGGGCAGTGGTGATATATGCCTTTAATCCCAGCACTCAAGAGGCAGAGGCAGGTGGATCTCTGTGAGTTCTACAGCCTGGTCTACAAGAGCTAGTTCCAGGACAGGCTCCAAAACCACAGAGAAACCCTGTCTTGAACTCCCCACCCCCACCAAAAACAAACAAACAAACAAACAAACAAAAACAACTTGGAAATGGGTTGTTCTGACATAAACGTTCTAAGTTGAAGTGCAAGGGACTTGAAAAATGGATCTCTGTGGTTAAGAGCACTGGTTGCTTTTCCAGAAGACCTGAGTTCAATTCCCAGCACCTACATGGTGGCTCATAGTTAATCTGTAACTCCAACCCCAGGGCATCTGATGCCCTCTTCTGGTCTTGTTGGGTACCACACACAGAGACAAAACATTCACCCATGCTTTATATACATAAATTTTCTTTAAATTGAAGTGCAAACTTTGTCATGGCATGGAATGTTTCTTATCTCTATAGCACATTAGCGACCTCGGATGTCAGCAGGAGGAAGTGGCTGATTCCAGGAGCAGAGTACTCCATCTTTACTGGGCAGCCTCTGGACACTGGGGACAGGAAGATAGATAACCAGCTGGAGGAAACCCTTGTTCCTGGGTGAGATAACTGCTGAGGAGTGCTTTCATAGAGATGCAGCTGTTTCCTGTAGAGGAACTAGTCGAAAGTTGGGCTGTGAGGGTTGGGGGGTGGGGAGAAGAGACAGTTCTTGTTTGGGGGGTTTCTACCTTCTCTTTGAAGTTAGACCTGAGGTTCTTCCTGGATTGTGAAAGCCAGGATGGGGCTGGAGGAGAGTGGACAGGGTGTGAATCTTTCAGAAGTGGGCCTTGCCTGTTATGGGAAGGTGAAGCCACTCAAGATGGTGTTGATGAGTAAATGCAGCTGGGTGACTGTCTTCTGGCTAAGCTCAGCTGTGAGTGTGGACAGGATCCCTTGATCACACTCCTGATCCTCTGCATTTCACCCCCATGTGTGGGATACTAGGCAGGTGCCGTTACATCCAGCCTGATAATGTTTTGCTATCTTAACTTGCATAGAAAGGATAGCAGTGGCTCCATTTCCCTAGCCCTTCATAGGCTCTGCAGTGCTGCTCTGCCTGTGCTCGGGGCACAGTGCAGGTTTGTTAGGACAGTCGGATAATCTCACTCTTGGCATAGCCCGAGCAAGCTCAGCCATGTACTCTGGGTACCATACAGATAGAAATTTCTGCATATGCTAGGGCGTATAAAGGTTTAAGAAACACTGGCTTGCTATGTGCAGGTTCAGTTTTAATTATTTGCATTATACCATACAAATGGAGACTAATTGTCAACTCTCCTGTTATTCCCCTGACTGTCCTAGTAAACTTAGCATGGTTTGCTATAACAAGTTAACATAGACTAAAGACTTACATACATTTATGGATTTCTCCAGTTCAGGAGCCAGCATGGCAGAGGTCTTAGAGAAGGCCCTCTTCCTTGCTGTGTTTCACAAGGCCTGCTCTTAATGTGCACCAGACAGAGTGCTCTTTAAGAGGCCAGAGTTTTGGGGTTTTTGTTGTTGTTGCTGTTTGTTTGTTTTGTTTTTTAGCTAGTTTTGCTGTGTGTCCCAGGCTGACCTGGAAATCTTGACCATCCTCCTGCCTCAGCCTCCTGAATGCTGGGGTTACAGGCATGTGTGCACTGTCAGGCCTGTCTTCCTCCCTCTTTTTATAAAAACCTTCAAGCCTGTTGTGGGTTCCTCTCTCATGTCCTGTCTAATCTTCATTCCTTTTAAAAGACCCTCAGCTCCAAATACTTCCAGCTAAGGTTAGGCTGTTATTTGTATGTTATGGGGTAGGGGACATGCAAATGTTCAGCCCACAGCAGTTACAATTGCAGCTACTGTTTTAGATACCGTTCTCCTCCAGAAAAGGACTCTTCACTTGGACGTTCACCAGCAAGCTTATTGATTAAAAAGCAGAGGGACACTCCAGACACACCAGTCATGAAAGCTTTAAAGGAACTTGATGAAGAAAGAATATTTAAGAATTGGGAGACACAGACAGAGAAAGAGGATTCCTCATGTGGTAAGTTTTTTTTTTTTTTAATTTTAAGATTTATTGATTTTATTTTATGTCTGTGAGTGTTTTCCCTGCATGTATGAGTGTGTACCACATGTGAACCTGGTGCCCATGAAGTAATCAGATCCCCTGGAACTGGGGTTATGAATGTTTGTGAGCCGCTGTGTGGGTGCTGAGAACTGATCCCAAGCCCTCTGCAAGAACAGTAAGTACTCTTTAACTGATGAGCTGTCTTTCTAACCCCTCTAAGTAGTATTTTTTTTTTAAAAAAAGATTTTATTTATTTATTATGTATACAGTCTTCTGCCCGAATGCCACCAGAGGGTATCAGATCTCATTCAAGGTGGTTGTGAGCCACCATGTGGTTGCTGGGAATTGAACTCAGGACCTCTGGAAGAGCTCTCAGTGCTCTTAACCGCTGAGCCATCTCTCCAGTCCTCTAAGTAGTATTTTATTCCTTGTTTGATGTTGACGAAAGAAAGAGGTGTCTTTCCTTTTCATTATTATTATTATTATTATTATTATTATTATTATTATTATTGTTTGTTCTTCAAGATGGGGTTTCTCTGGGCAGCTCTGGCTGTCCTGGAACTCACTCTGTAAACCAGGCTGGCCTTGAACTCACTGAGATCCATCTACCTCTGCCTCCTGAGTGATGGGAGTAAAGGTGTTTCCTTAGTTTATGTTATAGTCTTTAAAATTATATTTTCAGCCAGGCATGTCTTTAATCCCAGCACTCTAAAGCCAGAGGCAGGAGTTTGAGGCTATTCTAGTCCACACAGAGTGTCCCATGCTTGTCAGAGCTACAGAGTAATAATCTGCCTCAAAAAAATATAATAAGATAAAATTCTCAGATAATGAAATGAAGTCCTAACCTATGATACTGCTCCAGCCCCATTTCTTAGATAACTGACTCTGAATAACGATTTATCTTTGTCTTGGCATAGCATGTACCTTTCATATGAAGCAAACTGCATATTGTATTCTGATTATTTAGAAGGCCTATACTGAGATGGCTCAGTGGTTAGCTATACCTGTTCTTGCAGAAGACCTGGGTTCAGTTCCTAGCATCTACATGGTAGCTTGCAACTGTCTGTTAACTCCAGTTCCAGGGGATCTGAAGCCTTTAATCTCTCTAGGCACCTGCAGTCATTTGCACATACCCATATGTAGACAGACACAATAATTAAAAATAATAAAGTAAGAAGAAAAAAAAGGTCTGCATGAGCTGGGCCATTCAGGCATATAACCCCACTTATATGTGCTAAGATAGGGGGATTGAAATCACAGCCTGCCTGGGCTATGGGATGAGTTTGTCTACATCTGTTTGTCTTACTTGCACATGTTGGAAAATTGCAGCAGTCATTTGATGTTCATAAAACAAGGAATAAGATGGTGTGTGTGTGGGGGTACATGCCCATTGTCCCAGCACTCAGAGGCTGAGGCAACAGAATCTGGAATGACAAAAAATACAGAAAAACAATTTTTTTTTCCTATTTTCATGGTTACTGAACATCTATAGAGAGGAAGAGGAATATCTTTCAAGGAATTCTTTCCCCCAAGACTAGGCACTTTTCTCTGTCTCTGCCTTCCATCCCTATCTCTCTATCCTACATATTTTTCTCTTGGCCCTCCATGCCTCGCTCTTTTTGAGACAAGATCTCACGTAGCCCAGGCTGGCCTGGGACTCGCTATGTTGCTGAGGGTGACGTTGATGTCTGATCTTCTGCCTCTACTCCTCGGTGCTGGGCTGACAGGTGTTCACCATGTGCCTTGCTCCTTTGCTCCTTCTACTTCCTGCCATGCTTACTTCTCAGACCTGCCAGGCACACCTCAGATCTGTGGCACTGCATCCCACAGCAGCATCTCCTAGTAAATAAATTAGTAATCTGCTTCCTAAAAATAAACTCTGTAAGCACTCACCTTGAATGCCAGTTGTAACAGGAAGCCAGGGTTTATTCATTATAAACTCCCTCCCAAGCATTTTTTTATCATCATAATGCAGTACATTTGCAAATCATTATTACAGCCTAAATAGAAGATGGGCTTTGAGCAGAGCATGCACTCTGTGGAGGCCCTGTGCAGTGACAGCTGTGGTAAAGCAGATGGTAGAAAGCAGGTCTGCCTTATTTTTTTCTGTGTTTTTCTGATACAGAATTAGTGAATCCTCGGCAAACTGAACCTTCAGTCAATACAGGGCGTTCCCCAGAGAAATGTGGCCACCAGAGACCAAAGAGACAGAGTTCAGCTTCACAAAGATCATCGTCTCTCCCACCCTCCAGTCGTAAAGCCAGTACTCCAAGTAAGAGATGTGTGTGTCTTGAGCTGGGAAGAGTGAGTTTTCCCATTTCATTTTGCTCTCAGCCCCAACAGAGGATGCTGAACACAGGGTCCCTGAGAAGAACCAGAAAATGAAATTGTCTGAGTGCACAGATGTTTACAAACATAATCTAAGAAACCTCATTTTATGCCAGGCCTGTGGTGGAGGTCTGCCATCCCAGCTACCTGGGAGGCTAAGGATCGAGGTTCAAGGCCTGCCTGAGCTACAGTGTGAGTGGTTCAAGGCTAGCCTGCAACTTAGCAAGACCCTACCTTAAAATGAAAGGTAAAAAGGGCTTGGAATGTAGCTCAATGGTAGCACCCTAGCCTAGCATGGACAGGGTCCTAAGTACCGTAAGAAGTTGCTTTTGAAAGTTTAGAGCACGTTGATATCTTCACCCACTAATTGAGACAGATAGAGGGGTTGGAGAAGATGCTTCCTACATATCTGATCTGTGTTGTCTTCCCTAGCCTTTCCTCCCCACAGTTCCAGGCTGTTCTGAAGCTTAAGCACTGAGTTTTCTTGTCCATTTTCTCAAGGAAGTCTGTATCTCCTGTGTTCAGAGCAGTCACTACTGCACTGCATTTCTGTCTTATTTCCACTTGACTTCTAAAATCTTGAAAAACCAGTTTTGAGTTAGAGTTGCTGAGACTATAGTCTGGTATACTAAAGCGTCAGCAGGGATTGCCTGTAGACATTAGAGTTATGGGTTTTATTTTTACTTTTGTGTCCTCTTCAATACCATCAAGTTTTGCTATGAAATTTCTTGCTTCCTTTTTTTTGTTGTTGTTTTTTGTTTTTTGTTTTTTGTTCTTTGAGACAGGGTTTCTCTTTGTAACCCTGGCTGTCTTAGGACTTGCTCTGTAGACCAGACCGGCCTCAAATTTACAGAGATCTGCTTGCCTCTCTGCCTCTTGAGTGCTGGGGTTAAAGGCCTGTCCAACCACCACCCAGAAAATTTCTTTCTTTTTTTTTTTTTTTTTGGTTTTTTGAGACATGGTTTCTCTGTAGCTTTGGTGCCTATCCTGGCACTCGCTCTGTAGACCAGGCTGGCCTCGAACTCACAGAGATCCGCCTGCCTCTGTCTCCTGAGTGCTGGGATTAAAGGCGTGTGCCACCAACGCCCAGCTAAATTTCATTATTTTTAAAATTAGGAATAAGTTCTGCCAGCACACATATAGACGAAAATCATATTTCTTCTTTGTTTTCCTCTTTAGCAAAAAGAGAGATTATGTTAACACCAGTGACTGTGGCTTATAGTCCTAAGAGGTCCCCTAAAGAAAATTTGTCCCCAGGATTTAGCCATCTGCTTAGCAAAAATGAAGGCAGTCCAGTTCGGTAAGTTCTGTAAAAAATTGTAGAATTTTAAAAATTATTGGTTTTCAAAACATTTTATTGATTTATTGTTTGCATGTGTGCACATCAGAGGACAACTTGTGGGAGTTGATTTTCTCCTTCCAACATGTGGGTTTCAGGTATTGAACTCAGGTCATCAGGTTTGGAGGCAGGCGCCTTTACCTACTGAGTCATCTTACTGGCCCCATTAATTGATTTTAAACCATCAAGATGGCTTTAGCTATTACTGATTTTCAATTGAAAATCAGTGGGGCTCTGTGGCGTTAGGTCATTTATGTGAATATCATATGTAACATTAAGTATTATATAATACTTTGTTTGTTTGTTTGAGACATGGTCTCTCTGTGTTGCCTCGGCTGTCCTGGAACTTTCTCTGTAGACTCGGCTGACCTTGAATGTGAAAAGACCCGCTTACCTCTGCCTCACCAGTGCTGGGATTAAAGGTGTACACTACCGTTGCCCAGCAAAAATAGTTTTTAACTATGGAAACTTGCTACTGCTAGTTCTTAAATGCTGCCTCAGCATTTCATCAGATTTTAGATGCAGAAGAGGTTCTTTGTGCTCCTGACAAAGCATGTGATACAGGGACATTTTGGTGCCATTACAGTGGGTTTGAGGATGGCAGGGGCCTGTCTCTAGATGCGGTGAACCCATTCCATCCGTGAGTGACAGCTAGGAAGGACTTTGCCTCCTGGTTCTAGACCTAGTGGCCTAAGCACAGCCAGTCTCACTTTCCCCATCAGAGCACCTCCCATACCTGTTCCAGAAGCTTCTTAGAGAGGTCAGATATGGCATGACAGCCAATGCTTTAAGTTTCTAATGTAGAAATAGAACTTTGTGTCAGGAAAAGTCACATTCAGTTTCAGTTTTGAAAATCATACAAATAGCTTTCTTTTAAGAAAATAGGTGACAGCCTGGCAGGGGTGGTGTACACCTTTAATCCCAGCACTCAAGGGTTTGAGGATAGCCTGGTCTACAGAGTGAGTTCCAGGACAGCTACACAGAGAAACCCTATCTCAAAAAAAAAAAAAAAAAAAAAAGAAAAAGAAAGAAAGAAAGAAAGAAAATGTGACTACATGAGTTCCTGGGTTGCAGCTCAGCTCTCTAGTAAAATAGAAAGCTTACTTCATGTTTTTCTCACAAGTAACTTGCTTCATTCACTAGATTTGATATCCTTTTGGATGATTTAGATATTGTTCCTGTGTCCACATTACAACGAACCAATCCAAGGAAACAGCTCCAGTTCCTTCCTCTGGATGACTCGAAAGGTATCTTTTCCTAAAAATTACTAGTTAGAGTTAGAGGCATTTGTTTTCCAAGATTTGGGTGTCTTTGCAAGGCTCTGAAGATGCCTTCTGCCTGAGCGTTCACAATGTGTTTGCTGTATGTGTGTTCATGGGCAGGTTGGGAAGCAGAGGTGTAGGATGCTGGTTGTCGTCATCAGGATGATGTTGTACAGTGCCCCCTGACACTGTGCAGTTGTGGGTAATTTTCATTTAACAACTTTTTGTACCGATAAATCTTTCAGCCAGTCATCCAAGTTCCGCCCGCTGCCATGTTAAGGTCCCAAGTAACACACAGAGACTTATATTAGGTACAATGCTGCTGGCCAATGACTAGGATTTCTTACTTGCTAGCTCAGCCTTTTTTTTTTTTTTTGGTTTTTTTTTTTTTTTTTTTTTTTTTTTTTTTGATTTTTTGAGACAGGGTTTCTCTGTGTAGCTTTGGAGCCTATCCTGGCACTCGCTCTGGAGACCAGGCTGGCCTCGAACTCACAGAGATCCACCTGCCTCTGCCTCCTGAGTGCTGGGATTAAAGGTGCGCGCCACCAACGCCCAGCTGCTAGCTCAGTCTTAATTATCAACCATAATTATTAAAATATATATTATAAAACTTATCAAGATTGCTGGCGGAATGCATCCTCTCATGTTGGGCTCACATGGCTGCTCCAGAGAAGAGAGGAGGAGGAAGAGGAAGAGGAAGAGGAAGAGAGCTATTTCCTGTTTGTCCCTGCTTATATTCTGAGTCTTCCTGCTATGTCACTTCCTGCCTGGATCACAAGACTTCTTTTTACTACATTTCCCAGAACCCTCCTTCACTCCTAGTCCCACCTGTCTTTCTGCCTCATTGGCCAAACAATGCTTTATTCAGCAACCAATAAGATAAACATATACAGAAGGACCTTCCCCATCATCTCCTCTTTTCTGTCTAAATAAAAAGAAGGGTTTTACCATTAACATAGTAAAATATATAACAAAACAGTTATCAAGTAAGAACTATAGTTACAATATTTAGTTCATTAACATTTAGCAAGATTTAAAAAAATATTCTATCATCTATCCTATCTTTGTATGTAGCTTATCTTTTTTTTTATTAATTTATTATGTATAAAGTGTTCTGTCTGCATGTATCCCTGCAGGTCAGAAGAGGGCAACAGATCCCATTACAGTTGGTTGTGAGCCACCATGTGGTTGCTGGGAATTGAACTCAGGACCTCTGGATGAGCAGCCAATGCTCTTAACCTCTGAGCCATCTCTCCAGCCCGTAGCTTATCTTTTATAATAACTAAATAAAACTATAACCATAACTGTCTGTCTTCAACTCCATCAAAGACCACAGAAGGACAATATATAAACTCTAGAATTGACAGAGACATCTGGCTACCTGGACAGTCACCCAAAGTTCCTCTGTAACGTTGGGGCATCCATCTTCAGCCTATAGGCCAGGCCACAGTGTGTCTGGCAGACTCTCCATGAAGCAGGAACCCTTTAGTACTGTCTTGTTTTGCAAGTTCAGCACTCACTTTCCTGTGGGACCTGCATGTCCAGTTTATCAAACATTCCAGGCAAGAGCAGTTTCTTGCCCAAATGGCTAATCTTGGCATATTGAAGGGAAACTCCATATTGAGTTTCCTCGATGCCCATCCTCCTTTCTGACATAATTGGTGTGCTAGGAGCAGTTGTGTTTACCTTTCAGGAAAACCCTAAACCATTTAAATGCCATATATTATGTAGGTCTTTGAGAAGTTTCAAGAATATCCATCTCAAATACATTTCTGTATATCTAGAAAACCTAACCTAATTATAAGTTCTGACTATTATAGGTGACTATATAATCTGTATTTAATTGTGCATTATGTTTTAAAAGATCTGTATAAACACAATACCTAAACAAGAGGAGACATAATGCATATCACAAAATTGCCCTTAAAGTTGTATCAATAAATGAAAATCCATTCCAATGCAAAGTATTCATTTCCATATCCTATTTCCCTTTTTTTTTCCTTCAAAAAGAGATTGACTGTGATCATTACCATTTATAACCAACCCCATTTAAATGAAAACAAACATTTAGAAACAATATTTGGGAATTTGGGCATCGTTCATTCCAAACTGCTTCCTGTTGGTTGGGGGTAATGTCCACACCATGGGGATCATGATAAAACACAGAAATTCTGGCTGTAGTCGTCTATGACTGCATCGTCTCAGCTGTTTTGTATGTAGGATCAGCCACTGCTTCAGGAGGTCATGGGTCATTGTCCTACCCAGACAGGTTGATCTGTAAGCCACTTTAAGGGGAGGGCCTTTGGCTTCTCTGAAGGTTTATCATTTGTACGTTGTTTCTGTACAGCCTGGATGGTTGGTAACTGTTGTGAAGCCTGGAATAAATTTATAAGGTATGTGAAGTCACTTGGGTAGGTCCTAATAATGTTAACTGTACATATTCCACCTGGTGTGGCAGGTCACATCTTTTATTCTGGCACACAGGTGGCTGCAGCAGGAGGATTGCTATGACTTCAAGGCCGTTTTTGGGCTACTTAGTGAGTTGCAGAGCAGTCTGGATGAGTGTGAGACTGTCTGAAGAAACTGGCATGGAGAAGACAGACAAGATGTTTCTTTTCTCATTACACTTTAGGCCATACAGCAGTTCCTTTCAGGAAGTGAGGCTGAGCAAGATGTTTACTATGTATTAAGTCTATTAGAAACACAAGAAATTTCTTTCTTTTCTGACAGAAAAAAAGTATTCAGAAAAAGCCAGTGACAACCCTGATAATCATAGTTCTTGTCCTGAAACCTTGCCAAACGGAGTGAAGAAAGTGTCTGCGAGACAAGCCTGGGAGAAGAGTAAATCAGTTAGCCTTGAGCAATGTAAGCCACTGTCAGCAGCACCTCAGGGGAATGATTTTGAATATACAGCAAAAATTAGGACCCTAGCTGAAACGGAGCGATTCTTTGATGAACTTACAAAAGAAAAAGACCAGGTAAACAAAATATTAAAAAAAAATTTTTTCTGAACCTAATGTTTCTGTCTAGGGAATGGTCAGAAGGGAATTACTGAGCTGGACATGGTGGCATGTGCCTGTGTCTCAGCCCTTGAGGGTGAGGCAGGAGGACCACAAGTTGTAAGCCAGCTTGGGCTGTATGTTGAGACCCTGTCTCTAAAACAACAACAAATTAAACAGACAACTACAAACCACTAACAGAAAAAAGTAAAAATTAGGAAGGATGTCCTAGTCACTGTTCAATTGCTGTGAAGAGACACCATGACCAATGCAACTCTGATAAAAGAAAACAATTGGGGCTTGCTTAAGGCTTAGTCCATTATTGTGGCAGAATGGCAGCAGGGAAGGGGGAGGAGGGGCAGGCAGGCAGACATGGCACTGGAGAAGTAACTGGGAGTTCTATATCTGGATCTGCAGGCAGCAGGAAGAGACTCTGGGCTTGGCTTGGGCTTTTGAAACCACAAAGCCCACCCCTGGTGACACACATCCTCCAAAAAGACCACAACCCCTAATCCTTCTCAAGTACTTCCACTTCTGATGACTAAGCACTCAAATATGTGAGCCTGTGGGGGCCATTCTTACTCAGAGCACCACAGAAGACATCATTGTGTCAGACTTGTCATAGAGAATTAGCCTTGGGTACAGCATCTGGGACACCAAACTGCACTAGAAATGTTCTTGAGCCACACTATTGTTATTAACTGAGGGAACTTATGTTTAGCAAAAATGGTCAAGAAAATGCAAAGCTGAAATCTTTTCCTTCCCTTCTGTCAGAAAGCTCTCTGCCAGTGATTGGAATTCCTTTGTTTTTATTTGAATACTTTTTCTCATTAACAGATTGAGGCAGCATTAAGCCGGATGCCTTCCCCTGGAGGAAGAATCACTTTACAGACAAGACTAAATCAGGTGAGACAGCTTAACTGGGAGCTGTATTAGAGGCTGGATAGAGTCTGTGATCTAGGAAGCATCTGAGAGCATGACCACTGTGTTAGCCGCTTTTGTAGTGCTGTGGTAAAATACCATGACCAAGGCAATTTACAGTTCAGGGTGTTAGTCTGTGATGGCTGAGAGCTCACGTCTCAATCACTAAACAGGAAGTAGAGTGTGCAGTGGGGATGGCAAGAAGCTTTTGCAGCTTCATGGCTCTTGTCCTCCATGACATACCTCCTCCAACAAGGCCATGCCTCCTGATCCTTTTCACACAGTTCCACCAACTGTTGAGCAAATGGTCAAATGTATGAGCGTATGGGGGCCATTCTCATTCAAACCACCATAACTACTGAAGCAGCAGTCAAAACTACTGGCCTTTGCAGTCAGGATTTGATGATTATAGTTATCTCATAACTACATGTTTGCTGTCGGAAATAAAATTAATTTTTGCCTTTAGACTTCAAGAAAATAGTGTTCTAGCTGGGTGTTGGTGGAACACACCTTTTTCCCCCAGCTCTCAGAAGGCAGAGGCAGGCAGGTCTCTTGAGTTCAAGGCGAGCCTGGTCTACAGAGTGAGTTCCAAAACAGCCAGGAATACACAGAGAAACCTTGACTTGAAAACACACACACACACACACACACACACACACACACACAAAACAAACAAACAAACAACAACAAAAAAACCAAACCAAAAAAAAAAAAAAAGAAGAAGAAAAGAAAATGGTGTTCATGGTAGCAAATAGCATACCTTTTGTTGTTTGTTTGGTAAGATGCTAATGATAAAACCCAGGGCCTGGGGCACACTAGAGAAGCGCTCCACCATGGGGCTCTACCCTCAGCACAGCAGAATACCTGTGACAGATTTTACATTGCTGAGTTAAGTGCTACTTCCTTTGTGTGATTGTTTGTTTGTCCTCCTCCACCACCATCTGTTAATGACTTCTGAACCCCTTTCCATCTAATAAGTACCTGAAAACAGTTGTGCTTTGCAAGTAGAATGACTGTAGAGGTTGGAAAGGCAGCTAGAGAGATGGGTACCATATTCAGCAGCAGATGGTCAGGTGACATGGCCTGTGTACATTTTTTTCTGTTTTTTTTTTTTTCTTTTTAAAATTAGTTTAAAAAATTGTGTTTTATGTGATGTTCGCCTGCATGTGTGTGTGTGTGTGTGTGTGCGTGCGCGCGCGCGCGCCTGCCTACCTGCCTGCCTGCCTGCCTGCCTGCCTGCCTGCCTGCCTGCCTGGTGTCTGTGGAGGTCAAGTCAATTCCCAGCACCCACATGGCATTGCTCTTAACCTGTGCCATTTCTCCAGCTTCCTAACAAAATTGCTTTTGAGAGCTTGTTTGGAGGCTCTGGTAGGGGAGCTTCAGGTACTCATAACCTGGATGGAACACCCATCCTGTTGTTAAGAATCACACACTGAAGTGGAGGTGTGGTTCACCACATGCCATCCCTGCGCTTTGTAGGCTGAGACAGTAGGATCCCAATTTGGAAGCCAGGCTAGGCTGTTAGATCCTATCTCATAAGATAAAATGGGTTGAGGATATAGCTGGGTTAGTAGATACTTGCCTGTTATATAAAGCCCTGGATTCCATCCCTAGTACCACACAAAAACTGGGTATAAGGCTGAAGGTGTGGCCCAGTGATGGCAGTACATGTCCTAGCATATGAAGGCCCATTGTTCAATCCCCAGTCACAGACACACACACACACACACACACACACACACACACACACACACACAATTAAAAACTGAAAAATTGGATGTGGTAATGCACATATATGGTCCCAATATTTGAGAGATGGAGGCAAGATCAGAAGTTTAAGGTCATCATCAGCCATATATTGCATTCAACATTGGCATGGACTACTTGAGACTTGTCTTTATTTATTTTTAATCCTTTAAAAATTATTTCATATTTATGAGTGTTTTGCCTTCATGTATGCCTGTGCACTACATGTGTGCTTAGTACTTAAGGAGGCCTGAAGAGGGTGTCATATCCCCTGGAACTAGAGTTATAGCCCATTGTGAGCCAACATGTGGGTGCTAGGAATTAAACCCAGGTCCTCTGCAACAGCAGGAAATGCTCTTAACTGCAGAGACATTTCTCCAGCCCCTACAGAGACTTGTGCTAATGAGAAGAGAGAAAAATAAAATAACCTGCTAATACAATTTTTAAAGTCTTCTTTTCTTTTTTCCCCTCTAACTATGTTAGCAGGTTTAGTTTTTGAGGCAGGTCCTAGGCTTCTGTCTCAGCTTCACTAGTTCTGGGATTAACCATGCACCACCATGTCCAATTATCAGGTGTTTTGCTTTGTTTTTTAAAAAAACAGCTCATAATGTAGACAATGCAGATGCAAGTAGACATCATCACAGACTTTCTGGATGCAAAATTTATTTTGCATTTCTTTGAACCAATGCACTTCTTTTTTTTTTCTGTCTGCCAGTAATTGCAAAGATGTTGTAGTATTTATAGATACTGCAAAGAGATATGTTTAAGAAATGTACTGCGGCCTTATTTATAGTGTCCAAAATTAGAAGCAACCTAAATTTCTACTGAAAGATTCCTGGTGAAACGTGTTACTTGTGAAGGAATATTGTACATTAATTTAGGAGGATACTGTCGAAAGATACTTTGTAATACACCAAGAAAGTTTGAAGGAAACAATATTTGAAACGTTCTATTCTGGGTTTTTCCTTTCTAAGAGGATATGCATATATGCAAGAGAAACAGGGAAGAGGGTGATGGTCCTTCCCTTTGCTCCTCTGTCTCTCTACAGTGGACATTAAATCCTTTTACTAAAATTGTTAAATACAAAAATTTCAAGTACATGCCTTTAATCCTAGCACTTGTGAGGCAGAGGCAGGTGGATCTCTTTGAGTTTGAGGCCAGCCTGGTCTACAGAGTTCCAGGACAGCCAGAGCTACACAGAGGTGGGGTGGTGGTGGTGGTCGTGGTGGGGCACCAAGTTCTGTTTCTATGTTTGAGTTAATATAGAATAAATTATCAAGAATGGTAAATATAGGTGGCCTGCCAGGTGGGTTTCAAAAAATCAAAACAAAAAAATAGAATAGTAAATATATATTCTAGGTATCATTAACTCTATTTCTACTTCTTCATTGTAATTGTGAAATCTTTTTTCCTGAATTTCCACTAATTTTCTCTCTCTCTCTCTCTCTCTCTCTCTCTCTCTCTCTCTCT